TAGAAGCTTTTGCAGTTTTATTTAAATCATCATCATCAATTTAATTACAGGAAAGAAGAACCTGTTTTATTTTGTCTAATCATCATGTATTTTAATGCAAATATAATTATTGAAATTATTTTGTAATTTAAAAATTTTCAATGTAAGAAAAGTTTACAAAACTTAGCACATGGCACATGCTAATTAAATCAAATAAATGCCTAATTCAGGTAGACAGACATCAATGTTAGTAATAATTACTATTATAAGTGCTTCAGAATTTAGATTATGTCAAAGTGCTTGGACCTTGTATCTTTTTTGTACTTTTCTGTTAACAGGATGCCACTGATATGTACAGTACAGCAATGATAAGATTCAAGCTCTGAATGAGAGATTTCACACCACTCCCAGAATTGTTGACCCTTCATGAGATATTTGCATCCAAAGATCCATTTTTAACATGTATCAGTATCCTGTCTAGTCTATATGCTTCACATGTAGTCATGCACTTTGGTGCTTGCTCGCACTTCAGTGCCTGGGTGGAACGAGCCCCCGCACCCCTAAAACTAAATAACATCAAGTACTCCATAGTCAAGTGGGCTACTCAAAGCCAACACAGTCGAGTGAACTAAATAGTTAAATGCAATAGTTTTAGTAAAGAACACAAACGACGGTATCATGCATCGGATTAGAGTTATAACTGGCATCCCATTAACAGAAAAGAACCCCTTTTTTATGTTTAAAATGAAACAGATGATTAAAGAAGTAATTAATTTCACTGTAACTTTCTAGAAACTAGAGGGAATGCCAGAAATAAAATTCACATCTTAAAATATGATCTAGCAACAAATTTCAATTCTACATTTGAATGTTCAGCTGACGAAGATCTATAAACTTAAGTCAAAAATGTTTTTGTTTTATTAAAATTTGTAGCTGGCACATACTTTAAAGTGTAGATTTTATTTCTAATTCATTTCACTTCAGTAACAATCAGGTACATTTCAACTAAAAGTTACTTGTAAATATTTTGTATATATACATCACATATGTAGGATTGCTGATGTCCTATTTCCCGAGATTGTCGCAGATCTTTTCCAACTGCCATCTAGCATTATTAGGATAACTTTAATCTAGAAACTTAAGTACAGTGGGTGATTAGTTAACAAACATAATCTGTTCCAAGACTTTGTTTGTTATCTGAATTGTGCATTAACTGATTATCGATTTACCATAGGTTTTTATCGAAATTTGATTAATTCATTCTGGAGATCCCCAAAAATAAAAAATATACACTTTCTTACTATGTTTATTTATATGTACTAATAAAACTACATATATACACAGTCATGCATTTTTATTAGTCATGTTTTTTCTGTTTGTGGGAGTTAAAGAATCTATCTAATGTCGATTGATTTCTCTCTTCAAGATTTTTCAGAAGTAATTAATAGCATTGTAATTGTAGAGATCCCTAAACCTATTAACCTCAACCTGGTTTGGATGCCATTCTAAGACTGTCATTCTGACATCATCCAACTTCTTCAAAAGATGTTTAATAGCAGATATCAACATTAATTTTCAGAAGAAGACATATCTCGCCGCATTTCTTGTTCTTCATTCAAGAGTTCTTGGCATTCTTCTGTCGTTAGATCTGTTTCAGGTTCCATTATGAGCTCCTCAATGTTCTTTATTTCTCAGATGTAATTTTTGTTACTCCTTAAGCTGCTTGAGTCTTCTTGATAATACAGTATCTTTCTTAGACAAGATTGAACTGCAGCCTACTGCAGACCTGTTCAAGCCATACTGCCCAGCAACAACAGACATCTGCCCACTCTCTACCTTTGCTATTATACTCTCACCTTTCGAAAATAAAAACCAACGCAAAACTTAACAAGTGCCCACCCAACAGTCTCACGAATACTATAAAAGAATTGTTTGTCAGAAAAATAAAAGGCTGGAATTAGAAGGGAAAGTTTCAAAGTTCGGAGGAATACTATCCGATCAGTATACAGAGCTGCATGTGTACCATTAAATGACCTAACTGTAACTTCTACCATGTGTTGTAAGATTGACAAGCGAAGAGAGAGAGAGATTTTGTGAGATATTCGAAATCAAATTATAACCTTCTCTTACAATTTTTAATTAAAAGTGTAGCTTAACACGCATTAATATAGAATAAATTTAGAAATTCTTCCATTTTCTACAATAAAAGCACGGATTCTCTTTCCTTTGTTAACTTCCACAATTGAAACGTCACACTACTTTTATGTTTAAAAAAAAATAATAAGAAGAATTTATTTTNAAAATGTCCAAAAATTTACAATTTAAATAACTTATTGCCTATTTTATTCTACGGATAATATTTATTTTTAAAGATGCTGATTATAGTTAACCTATCATTATATTTGGGTAACTTACTAGATAACAGGTTTCCAGTAATTATAAATGAAATGTATATGTTATTACTTCATAAATTATTCTAGCCACTCGAACTATTATGCTTAGGTAATGATAGGGTGCAGATAATAAATATTCTAAATAAATTATTGTAAATCTGTAAAGGGAATGTCTAATGATGAAGATAACAAACTATTTTCAAAAAATTACAAATATAAAATCATTTACTTTGTAACGTTAATATTCTATCCAAAGCTTAATTAGTCTTACATGTTTCGACAGAATAGATATTTGAATTGTTTAAACACGAAAATTACTTTTCCTGACATCAAAATTACTTTCTAACTCTGTAGATTGAAGATGGCACTGAAGAAGATAGTTTATTCTCTTTATTTCACTTCTAGTAATTATTTTGTACAGAGCACTTCTTTTTCTATTCTCCAAGATTTAAGTTTGATGAGAAGAATTTATATTTTTTACAGTGTAAAGAAATTAAATTTTATAATGACTTTTTTTATGTCAATTGAAAGTATTTTTGAATACTGATTTTAAATATCTTACATTATTAATGTTCTAAGAAAGACAAAGATTTACAAAGTCACTGTATTTTACAGTAAAGTTAGCATTTATTTTATTTGTTAATATATATAATGTCCGGATTTACCGAATCTGCGTTAGAAAAGAAGCTTGTAGAGCTTAATAATTCACAACAGAGTATACAAACTTTGTCTCTATGGTTGATCCATCATAGAAAACATCATAAGTCTATTGTACAAGTTTGGTTCAAAGAACTTAAAAAAGGTGGGATTTGTATGTAATAATGTAAATAATATGTTAATAAAATACATGTGTAAAGAACAATAATGTTGTCATAATTTCATAACAGTAGTTCAGTATTGCAGGCTTCATTGGAATGTCTTTTTATTGTTAAAGTTCTTATTAAAATGCTCAGTTTTTCAATATAAATAATAATAATAGATTTGGATTCTAAGTCTGTGGTTGTTATTATAATAAACAAAGACTTAGACAATAATAAATCAATAAGATTGTGACAAGATTGAATAAGGTTCTATAATTCAATCATGCTGCTTTGATTATTATATATATATATTTTGAATAAATGTTGAATTTATAATAATTGAATATGCGTGTGCTGAGTTTTGGCTCCGTGGAGGACTTATTGTGCTCTATTGATGCAGCTGGAGAAATCACACGGAAATGGACAAACACTTCAAAGCAACAACGGTATGTGTTACATACGGATGGACGGTCTATATGTCTCTTTTTGGCTGTTTGGGTTTTGAGAGTAAAATATGAGCGATTTCTTACAAATGTTATGATTAATGATTAAATTAATTTTTAAAAAATATTTAATACATCCTCTGTAGAGTCAAAACTTAGCATTCACGTATGCAATTATTGTAATATAAGGACAAGAAGCAAATCACCAATCTTGAATATATGATCATGTTTACAGTAGAGTTACTATTAATTCGTGTATGTTGAATGTAATTTAATAATAGGCCTATATGTAATTTAACTTTAAAATATTATTATGTATGTATAACACAAATTATCTTACTGATTATTCATAATGATAAACAGTAAAAATCTTTACCAGCAAACACATTTTGTTGTGTAAAATCAAATGTTTTCAGCTCTTAGGGTCTTTGTTGGGATGTCGGAATGTTATATTTCATTATGATATAAATCAAATGCAGCTGTCATTTCAATTTAAATTTATAGAATGAAACACCATGTTTTACTGTTATGCACATGTGTTCTATTGGCTCATATTTTATATTTATATAGTTTTTTTTATTCATGCGTTTATATTTCTTTTGTTCTCTATGTTTATGCATATAGTTTTTATTTTTGTGCTAAGAGTTTACATTCATATTTAATTGTTAATGGTATTCCATTTAATTTTAGTTCTGCAAATTTCGATGTTAAAAATAAAATGTTTTCAGCTGCAAGAACAGTTGAAAACATTTGATTTTTGTAATAAAAAGTGTTCCTGTTAAAAGCTTTTACTGTTTATGTACATATAATTATAACTGTTTAAACTACCATCTCAATTATTTTTATTGTTATCAGAAGATATTTATACTTCCTTCTATAGGAAATATATCTTTGATGAAAACATTCCATGATGAAGATGAATCTTTATAGGGGCATCCTGAAAGTTTCCTTTGAATTTGTTTTATCAATGAAATTTTGGTCAGATTCAAAGTAGTTAAAATTTATCAATTAATGGATTCAAACCTATTATCTGTTTTAATGTCCAATGTTTAGTGAACATTTAAATTTATTAAAGCATAGAAATGAAGAATTTATTGTGTTAATAGCGAGGTTGAGGCCAAAGTTTTAAAAGTTTAAAGAAAACATGTACATCGGACGTTCAGCTCTGCTTTCCTGTAAGCCTAGAAGTTTGACAATGGTGTTTGGAATGTTGAGCATGATTCCACTGACTATCCAAACACCATTGTCAAACTTCTAGGCTTACAGGAAAGCAGTGCTGAACGTCCGATGTACTGTACATGTTTTCACATTTAAAAATTTGGATTCAACCTTGCTAATGATTGTCAAAAATATTACATACTGTACCATATTTTTACACATATAAGAACATGTTCACTTGTTTTCACAGTTTTGAAAGTCATGCTTTCTTTATAAGAGCATGCATGCTCTTATATCTGCCAGCTTGTTTTGGTACTGAACTATTGTATCAATGTACAGTATATTGCCAAAACAATGATACAATAACTATTCATTGACATCTCTGTAGTAATTATTATTAAAAATAAAAACCAAAATACAAAAATTCTTCTGATACTATAAAAGTTTTTAAAAATAGTGAGTTTTTTAGATACTTTGTGGAATACAATACAGATTTTGCCTCATCTATAAGAGCATGCTTTATATGCATGGAAGGACTGTAAATAGAATACTTTAAATATATTATTTGAGATTTTATAAATTAATATAATAAACTAATTGATATATAATCTAAATAAAATATATTAATGTATAATACTTATTGATTTATCATATCAAATAATGCTTTTTACTTTGTATTCATTCATTTTCCAATGTCTGCCACCCTGGAAGGTTCATAGGGAAAGCAGTCCCAGTAGTCTTGAAATAGCCTCAATCAACAGCATTTGAATTCAGCTTAGCTGCTGGAATCTCAAGACATGACAACCAAGTTTCCATATATGATCCATCCATTTGGTTCTTGTTCTTCTGTATGGTTTGAATCCATTGGGATAGGAAAACGACATTTTTTAAGAAGCCTTTCCAGTGACATTCTACTTATATGTCTAAACCAACATAATTGTGATCTCTTCATGTATAGAATCAGTGGCTTAGTATTGAGACTTTCTCAGATGCTGACGTTGCAAACTCTGTCAAACTTCTAAACATAGCAGTTATATTCAGGATTGCATTCTTTCAATCATTATTCAACGTTCGTGCCCATAGGTGAAGATTGGGACATAAACTGAGCAGAAAATTGACATCTTTGCTTTTTTCCCTAGCTTTTTTTTTCTTGAACAGTATTGATTGATTTTAGTTTCTATAGTATGGCACTTTCTTGACTAATTTTGGTGGTTGTTTCTTTCTTGCTTTAGCCTATCACTTATGAACACAATTCCTAAATATTTAAACCTCTCCACTTGCTTTAATGTAGCTCCATTTAGTTGGAAAGTACATTGAACAGAATTTCTTGAGAGTACCAACACTTCAGTCTTTGACATGCTTATTTTCATCTCAGCATTAGTGCAAATAACTGCATATCTATCTAGTGAATTTTGAAGCTCACACTATGAGTGACTGAGCAGAACCAGGTCATCAGCAAACAATTAACCTATTTTAAAATCTCCAAGAACAACAGTCTCCAGCCTGACTGCACCTATCAGTCTATTCTATGTAAGTAATGAACAGCAGCAGTGACAGAACACAAATGTGGCAAAATACAACATGCACACTAAATGGTTTCAACTTAATATTGTTTATTTGAATACACATCTCTGAGCATGCTTACAGAGATTTAATGGCTGCTAAAAGCTGTCCATTACTGTAATTTCATATTTCTTCAATACTTTCTACAACTTATCTTGAGGAACGTAGTCATGTGCCTTCTCGAGATCTATAAAACAAGCACAGATCTATTTTTGAATACTCCTAGAATTTCTCAAAGATTTGGTCTGTTGTGCTTCTGCCAGGTCAAAAATCATATGCTCATCCTTGAATGAAACTTCAACTTTACCTCTGTATTTCCTTTCTAAGCATTTAGCATAGATTTTTTTCAGGGAAACAGCAGAGATGCTCCAATAGTTATAACATTCACTCTTCTCCCTCTTTGCAGATAAAGAGTATAACCCCAGTCTATCATTGCTTTGGTATATTTCCAGAAACTCATGCTGCTTAACAAACATGAGTTAACCAGAATGTGCCATCAGCATTCAAGACCTTATAACGTTTCAGATTAGATTTCATCACTAACTGCTGCTTTACTTTGCCAGATTTAAGTGATTCAGTTGTCTATTGTTTTGTACATTCAATTTATATATTCTGTCTGATCATGTGAGGAAAATATTGATTAAATAAAATAAAAAGATATATAATTTACTATAATTGCAATAGGGAAGTTGTGTCTAGATAAAGATCATTTTATTTAGGTAATGTTTATACATGATTATCACTTTATTAAATATGATATGATAAAGATTTTCATTGACAAATTATGTAATGTATTATCATGCATTTATAATAATATTGATTAAATAATTTGATCAGATAATTCTATAATTATCCAAAAATTGTTTCCTTTTATTACAGTTGAGTTTCAATACTGAAAGGAAGACAGGAGTGAAATTTGATTGTATTGAATAAAATTTAAAAATACTTCAATATATTTTTAGAAATGCATATAAAATTAATCAGAAATTCTAATACATTTCAATCAAAATTAAAATAATATAAATCATATTATATTNTTGCCAGATTTAAGTGATTCAGTTGTCTATTGTTTTGTACATTCAATTTATATATTCTGTCTGATCATGTGAGGAAAATATTGATTAAATAAAATAAAAAGATATATAATTTACTATAATTGCAATAGGGAAGTTGTGTCTAGATAAAGATCATTTTATTTAGGTAATGTTTATACATGATTATCACTTTATTAAATATGATATGATAAAGATTTTCATTGACAAATTATGTAATGTATTATCATGCATTTATAATAATATTGATTAAATAATTTGATCAGATAATTCTATAATTATCCAAAAATTGTTTCCTTTTATTACAGTTGAGTTTCAATACTGAAAGGAAGACAGGAGTGAAATTTGATTGTATTGAATAAAATTTAAAAATACTTCAATATATTTTTAGAAATGCATATAAAATTAATCAGAAATTCTAATACATTTCAATCAAAATTAAAATAATATAAATCATATTATATTGCAACATTCAAATTTTTTAATCTCTTAATTTATAAAATAACAGTAATATCAATAAAACTATCAGTTCCAGTCTTTCTTCAGCCAGGACCTGTAGTTTTCAGTGATTTTTCTTGAACCCAGTGTTGAATATATAAATACATTGCATGTGCATAACAATCATCATCACAACTAGCATCTCATTAAATTTATTTCTATTAGAATTAAGCTATTTTATTAATATATTTTAATTTCTAAGTTTTCATTAATCACTGTATTTTACTCCATGGACTGCAGGCAGTCCATGGAGTAAAATACAGGATCAGTGGAATGCACTAAGCAGCCTATGCAAGGCATGGGTGCTTGATGCCAATGACAGGGCAGGGATCTTTTAGATTAAGATACATATTCATATTTCAAACCAATATTTCAATGTTTATGGGCATATTTAAATTATTTTTGTACAATTAATTATTACTTCGTGTCTAGTGAATTAAATTTTTAAAAGATTTGAGACTAAGTTCTATATTTCATAATTTCTTGTTTAAGTTTTTATACTGNAAACACGAATCGATAACGAATCTGCTATTGTTTATTTGCTTGAAGAATAATTTAAAATTCGTTTCTATACGATTTATCAAACAAATTATGAAAATGTTTACGAATTTTCATCCAAATTTTGTTTATAAAGTAATCTTTTTATTATGTTATACGCGTTCGAATTCGAAATATTTAGTCTCGAATGTCTCGTATTTCTTTATTTGAAAGAATTGTAGACTTATAAATGTCCGTCTGTCTGTCTGTTTGTCTGTCCTTCCTTAATCTCGACAATGGTATTAGATAGATGAAAGTCGAGACCAGATATGGAAAGATTAGGGACAGAAGGTCCCGAACTATATTCCCTTCAGATGATTGGCACGATTCTGTCGTTATCAGGAAAAAGATGATGTACAGGAGCAAGACATCACTAGTTTTAGATCGAAAGAATATTTAAAATATATCCTCTTCTAAAACTTTCAGCCTGGCATTGTAAAGATGTCACGATAATTAAAATAATATAAATCATATTATATTGCAACATTCAAATTTTTTAATCTCTTAATTTATAAAATAACAGTAATATCAATAAAACTATCAGTTCCAGTCTTTCTTCAGCCAGGACCTGTAGTTTTCAGTGATTTTTCTTGAACCCAGTGTTGAATATATAAATACATTGCATGTGCATAACAATCATCATCACAACTAGCATCTCATTAAATTTATTTCTATTAGAATTAAGCTATTTTATTAATATATTTTAATTTCTAAGTTTCCATTAATCACTGTATTTTACTGATCCTGTATTTTACTCCATGGACTGCCTGCAGTCCATGGAGTAAAATACAGGATCAGTGGAATGCACTAAGCAGCCTATGCAAGGCATGGGTGCTTGATGCCAATGACAGGGCAGGGATCTTTTAGATTAAGATACATATTCATATTTCAAACCAATATTTCAATGTTTATGGGCATATTTAAATTATTTTTGTACAATTAATTATTACTTCGTGTCTAGTGAATTAAATTTTTAAAAGATTTGAGACTAAGTTCTATATTTCATAATTTCTTGTTTAAGTTTTTATACTGTTATATGTTTGAATGAAAGAATAAATACAATAATTTCTTGCATATAATTCACAAAAATTGCTAGGACACAGTCTATACTTGCTTTCAAGTTTGCGTTAAAACTCAGATAAACAATGAATTGTATACAGGAAATTACAGCAATTCTTTCATCATTAATTTATTATTGTAGTATTTTATGTATTTGTTCTTTTTTTTATATAATAATTTGCTTTATTTTTGAAATTTTTAAATTTATATTAGAAGAGGCTATTTTTAATTTAAAAATGCAAATTAAGCAAAATGATCTACCAAATTGTCAGTCTATTATAAAGCTAAGTAAAATTATTAGCATAACTGGCAATGCAGGAGTTGTGAGTTAGAATCCCATTCCAGGCCAATTCTTTTCTTCCAGAAATTCTAAATTAAAAATTAATTTATTATAATTATTAAAAATTTAACAAGGGATGGTAGCATAACTGTTTACTGTTACACAAATTAATTAGTTTCTAATCATATACTTAGCCTGATAATTTGACAGATTACTTGATATAACTATAAAATTGGGTTTAGTGACATCGATATAAAAATCCAAGATAATTGATCAAGTTCATTATAAATAGAAGAGATTAGGTGTGTATTTTTGTGTGTTATGAAGGAAATAGACATTTATAGTAAAGTTTAGTATAATTAATAGAAATGTAATAAATTCTACTGTCAAAACTATATTAATTCCATTATTTACCTTATATATTTACAAAATTTATAAGGTAATGCATAAAATTTCTAGTAGTACTCTTCACAAAATGCAAGAGCAGAAATACAGATTGAAATATTACAAAGAATATTATACCAACTTAAATAACATTATTATGCATTTATGATTTTATGTTAGTATGAATAAAAATTAAAGAGAAAATAAGTCACTTGTGAAATTATAATTTTTAAATCCTGTTTTATTGAAATTATTTCTTATTAAATTTACTAACATTTAAATATTGAATAGAATATTGTCTATACTAATATTATAAAGAGGTAATGTTTGTATGTATGTATGTTAGTTTATATGCAGCAGGTAATCTCCGAAACTACTCATCCGATTTCAAAAATNACAGTTTTTGGGTGCATTTGTTAATAGCAGTCACTCTGCAATGGGAGTGCGCTGCTGTTTGTAGGCATTTAGGAACGATGGTGAAAGAAAGATGGCAGTGCCCGCACTATCGATAGTATAGTGATGGAGGAATTTATAATTCTAAAATGAGCTTTTAGAGGCAAAAGAAGGGTCCCAATTGTAAAATTTAACCATTAAATGGATTATTTGTTGAAAGAGCATTCAAAGTAGTCACGAAAACAATTAGAATGTTTGCGCTGAGTTACGTGGAGGTATAAAAGAATGCACCCTTTATTACATTTCATGTTGTATGAGGGTTTTACCCAATTCCCGAACCGAGTTAGAGTGAACCCATGCTATAAAAGCACTGTGTTATACGTGGATGTTCCCAATTCTCGAACCGTGTTAGAGTGAATTTGTGCTATAAAAGTGCCGTGTTATATGGGGGTTACCTGTAGTTTATTTTGATCTCAAGTATTTGATTAAATTTAAAACTATACTTTAAATTTGTTTTTCAAATGAACATTTTGTTCTTTTTGTATTAATCTGAGCATTACTGGCTCAATAGTAACTTGCATTGATTTTTGTCCCCCTACTTCCAGAACAGTTGCCAGTAGAGAACACTTTTAATGCTGACACTCTTGTACAAACTGTTTATACACAACTTTAAAGCACATTTATGAATATTTACTGTATTTGGCTTATTGTGTTTATTTATTTGTTTCTCTTGGACATTTTTGACTACTCACTTTGCCACACCTTGTCACCTCACTCATCAAGCTGGCCTCGGATCTGAGCATAAAACTGTACTTTTATGCTCTGCTGCTTAAGCATCTATGCATAACTTTGTTTTTTTTTTTTTTGTTTTTTTGATATATTTCAGAAATTCAGCCAAATGTAAATTATTAACTACTTTTAATAACTTAGTCTTGTTCTATTTTACTTCACCTGTGAAATTAAATAAACTATAGCATATGTCTCTATTTTTACATAGCTTCATCTTCAGTTCTGAACTTTAGTATAAATATATAAATTCACATATGATTATTTCTGTTGTCTTTTTTACATGCTAGGATTAAATAAACATTTGATTTTTATTTTTTTACTATGACTTTTTTATAGAAGAGAACTTTCTCATATATTTACTATAATATCAGTCTCTGCAGAACATCATTCCATTTTCATGCCTTTTTTTCTGCATTAAGACGAAATAATGCTCTACATAGAGATCAACAAATAATGCAAAAGAGTTCCGAAAGTATAAGATATTTTATAATAATCAAACATTAAAATAGAAGAGAAATGCTTATTCTTTATCTATATTAAGTAATTCATAACATTAATTAAATATTTTTGTTTCAGCTTAACATCTGTAGTAAGTCCTCAAATAGGTAGTACAGTAGGAAGAATAAAACTTTATTGTACTGTATAAACATACTTTTGTATCTATACATATATAATAATATTAATAAAAAAATTCTAATTCAAACTAATGCATTTATAAATTAAATTCACATATGAATTAAATATTTGTATTTACAATTAGATTTTTTTCAACTTTAAAGTATTATGTATACAGTATAATATATATGTATATTGTGTGAATAATACATAATTCTACTGGATAGATTTGATATTAATATGTATATTTTTCTTATTCCTTTACAGCAAAACCTAATCGAAGACTTACTTTTGTATATTTGGCAAATGATGTAATTCAAAACAGTAAGAAGAAAGGACCTGAATTTTCTAAAGAGTTTTCAACTATTTTAAGTAAAGCATTCCAACATATTTCACCGTGAGTTGTTCATTTATTTATTAAATTATTAAAACAGTTAATTTTTTTACTTTAAACCTAAAAGAAATTTTTTTAAATTTTTTTTTTTTTTTTTTAATGTATAAAATTGAGGAAACATAAATGAAATTTTATAAGCAATGTTTTGAAATGAAGTTCAATAGTGTATTTTACTTCAAACTCACTAAAATAAACACACATTAACAGATTTTATAAGTCAAATACAGGTAACCCCCATATAACACGGGAGTTACGTTCCAAAAAATTGCCATGTTATGCAAATCTGTGTTATGCAAAACAAAGAACTAGTGCAAAAAGGGGTGTTAGGTTCCAAAAATTAAAAAACATGCTGTTAAATCCTTATTTAAATCGGATTTATTATTCATTTTTTTCATAGGTAAAATACTTATTTATTATTTTTATTATTCATTTTTTTCATAGGTAAAATACTTATTTATTATTTAAGTAAATATTTTACCAGAGAATTATTCATCCTATATGATGATCTCTGCATGAGCATCATCAACTGGTAACAGTTTTTGGGTGCGTTTGTTAATAGCAGTCACTCTGCAATGGGAGTGCGCTGCTGTTTGTAGGCATTTAGGAACGATGGTGAAAGAAAGATGGCAGTGCCCGCACTATCGATAGTATAGTGATGGAGGAATTTATAATTCTAAAATGAGCTTTTAGAGGCAAAAGAAGGGTCCCAATTGTAAAATTTAACCATTAAATGGATTATTTGTTGAAAGAGCATTCAAAGTAGTCACGAAAACAATTAGAATGTTTGCGCTGAGTTACGTGGAGGTATAAAAGAATGCACCCTTTATTACATTTCATGTTGTATGAGGGTTTTACCCAATTCCCGAACCGAGTTAGAGTGAACCCATGCTATAAAAGCACTGTGTTATACGTGGATGTTCCCAATTCTCGAACCGTGTTAGAGTGAATTTGTGCTATAAAAGTGCCGTGTTATATGGGGGTTACCTGTAGTTTATTTTGATCTCAAGTATTTGATTAAATTTAAAACTATACTTTAAATTTGTTTTTCAAATGAACATTTTGTTCTTTTTGTATTAATCTGAGCATTACTGGCTCAATAGTAACTTGCATTGATTTTTGTCCCCCTACTTCCAGAACAGTTGCCAGTAGAGAACACTTTTAATGCTGACACTCTTGTACAAACTGTTTATACACAACNAGTGCTTATGCATGTCTGTAAACTAGTGTATTTGGTTATTGTATGCTTTACATTAACTCATTAAATTGTTATTCTTTGTTAACTTGATTTTGAGTGAACTTACTTTGGAGAATGGTCACCCTATCAACGGACTTACTGCATCTCCCTGTAATATAGAATACTTTAAATAAAATAAAATTTTAAAAATTTCTCTACTCTTATTAACAAATGTCTAATTAAAAAATTGAAGAAGAAAGCATTGACTATTTATAAAACAATAGGCTATGTCATTATCAATTTTATATGTATTTATATAGTGTTATTTGAAGATTTAAAATTGTAAATTTATATGATGATTTAGATTTAAATTGCTCTTTTACAAGTAGAAATATTGTATCTTATTGCATTTTGATTTTGATTGGTTTTCTTTAAATTGAATTATATAATAAGTATCAAAATCTAGATTATATAAATTCCCAGAATTTTGGTCATATGTGTTCCTAACAGTGTGTACAAAAATTGAATGTTTAAAAGTCAAGCAATAGAGTTGCATGTTATAAAGAGATAAATTGCTGTTCTCAGAAAGCTAAAAAAAAAACAATTATAAAGTCTCTTATTATTAAGATAGGAAAGTTTTACTTTTGTACTGTGAATATATTATAATGTATAAAATATTATTTATAATGTTAAAATCATCAATTAAACAGAAAACAGACAATGAAATTTATTTTCACAGTGATTTTGATATTATGGAAATAAAAACTGACAGAAAGTGCTACTGAATAATAACTCAAATTTTCTGTTTGTCAGCTGTAAATGTGCAAAAGTCTAAATTTGGCCTATGAAAAATTATTTATTAATTCATATGCCTCTGTGTTCTTATTGTATCGATTAGTATGTAAAATGTCTACAAAGGACTTATTTTATTAACAGGACAGTATAATAAGTCCTGTTAATAAAATAAGTCCTTTGTAGACATTTTGCATACTAATCTGAAAAATTATTTAGCTTTATAAAAGTATCATGTACAAGCATGAGAGAGAAAGAGAGAGAGAAGGTTATCCAAAAGTTGAGGATGCCTTTATATTATACAAGAGATGATCTAAACTCTTCACTTATTCAGCAATGTTGCATTTATGTGTATGATGTGTACTATGTTTAGTGATAGGAAGCCAGTGGTCTAGCCTTATAATTGATTAGTAAGGAATTTGTTGCAGTTAGAATTGCATATGGAATGTGCAGTACACATATTGATGGTATTATTTCTACCAAACACATCCAAATCAGATCAACAGAAAAACAAAACGATTAAATGTTTTCGAAAAAAGCAACAAACCCACTGGGTGTTTAGAGAAAGTTGTAAGATAAGCCCCAACACCTAATTATTGATAAGGAAGAATGTCAAAATCATTTAATTTATGCGATAAGAAAAGTCACAACAGCTGGTAAAAACTATCAACAATCTGGCAGGGTCGTCAAAGTTGTACGGTCCTCACTGACCAAACCAATGACAACTTTGGCTCAAACTTTGGACCACATCACCTGATTTTCCTCCTACACTTAGGAGGATAAAAAGGGTACACACCTGAAGTTTGGGGCAGACACACCGGTCTAATCCAGCATTACATATCACTTTGTGACATTCTCTATTTATTTTTAAATTTATAACAATTCTTTGTAAACAATATTAGTTTAGTATATTATTTACAATTGTTTAGCAAATAATATAAATAAATAATAATGGGACCAATTTCAGCTTACAAAATATCATTCAAAAAATTTAGGATACAGTGTTTGTATTATGCATATTGTGCACTGAAGTTCATCTGAATAAAGGCCAAAAATATTTCTCCTTTCCTTAAACTGTTGTTCCATTAAAATAGCTGTATTTTCTTCTCAATACTTATTAATTATGGTGATAGTTAACATAAAAATTAAGATTAAAAACTTTTAGTAGAATATAATATCAAGATTAAAAGTTACATATAGCTTTTGACATTTATAATAAATCAGTACAGGTATACCTTGACTTATGTCGTTTCGAGTTACGTTGTTCCCAATTATACGTCGTTTGTCAAAAAAGNCAACGCTCTTGTCGCGCCAGCTCTCATCTCCTGTCTCCCTCTGAAAGAACTTCTTGGGAAGATCCATGACTGTCTTCCTGACCATTGAATAAACTAGATCTGAAAATAGCTAATTGTCCAAATGAGGTATTATACTTAAAGCATTGTAAACTCTCTATCTCTCTCTCGGTTGATTTAGATATAAGTTAGAGTTAATATATAGCCAATATATTTTAGTCCTTAGATATAGTATCAGATGAAATAGTGCTTATGCATGTCTGTAAACTAGTGTATTTGGTTATTGTATGCTTTACATTAACTCATTAAATTGTTATTCTTTGTTAACTTGATTTTGAGTGAACTTACTTTGGAGAATGGTCACCCTATCAACGGACTTACTGCATCTCCCCACTCAACATACTCTTATTTAATGGTAATTTTGCATAATCGTGAGTTAGGACACGAATTACAACTATCCTAACTGGTGTCAGGAAAATCTGTCCTCAAGATCTAATGATCTCGAAGCAACTATATTTAAACAGCCATCCAGTGACGCTTGAGCAGTCTTCATCAGACCAATGTTTGGGAAAGGTTAAAGAGCACTAATCTCTAACCCTTGGCTTCTCACAGTATAAACTGATGGACATTCATTGTAGAATGGTGAGGATGTATGTGGATGCATGTCTGTCCAAAACCACCATCATGGAATAGTGTGTGAAGTTCCATGAAGGTCATAACAATACACCCTCATATTGACAATGTCATATGCAGAAGTTGGATGCCTTTAAATGGGATGATCTTAGAGAACCCACCATAAAATCCAGATCTCTCTCCATGCAATTTTCAGACCCCTATACACCTTCATTCCTCTGAGAAAGTCTCTGAAAGGATGACAGTTTTAATTAGATGATGACGTGAAGAAGGCTGTATTGGATTTTTTATGTATCAGCCAACCAATTTCTACCAGATGGGCATTGTTAACTTGGTTCATCAATGGGACAATTTCCTTAAATTAAAGCCAGTGACAATTTCTTATAAGTAGAATGAACCTACCAGCTCTCAAACAAACTTTTTGATCTTCCCTTACATAATTTGTTATGTAAATAACTTGTATAAATGAAAACAAATGTATAACAGCACTATTTAACTTGTATTGTTTAAGTATTAACATGCTGAATTACTGAGGATGTAAAAATATCAGTCATTTGCTCAGGAGAACTTGGATTTAATAGAATGGTCCAAAATTTTTATGAATAGGTTGGCTCAGATGTGTCAGATCTTGTTCCTCACAACTGGACAATCCAATATAGAATATAGAAAAAAAAGAGATCCTCTTGGTACCATGTCCTGTGGTTATGGGACAGAATACAGAAAGAATTTAAGAAAAATTTATATAAATTGTTCAATTGCTAGTTTCTCAGTAATCAGTAATTGTCAAATATAGTTTCATGTTTATACACATATATTATCTATATAAATAAATATGAGACCTGACAGTTGTTATGTAAATTTGTGAAGTTTCCTGAATACAATTTTTTGCTTATGTTAAAAATATTTTGCTAATATTTTTAAAAAACAAAGATAGAATTTGATTATTTTTTAGGAACGTTTGAAGAAATTTATACTTGCTATTTACATAAATTTATAGAAATATATTTCTAATTTCATATTAACTAAATATCAATATAAGAATTTGTTTGTCATAAATACATAATCATTTTATATGTTAGATGTTTTACTTTATCTCATTGAAATTACTGAATAAAAACTTTTCATAAAGATTTTATAAGTTTAATTACATGTTATTTTTTATTATTAATATTCACTTTTTCATAATTAAATGAAATTATTTTTTATTTTTTTATTTTAGAGATATAGATGATAAGACGAGGCATGGTTTAGAAAGAGTTTTATCAGTTTGGGAAGACAGGAGTGTATATGATTCTAATCAAATTGAAGAATTCAGGCAAGCCTTAGCAATAAAGAAACAAACTCAAGGTTTGTTATAAACAAAACTTTTTGAAAAATATATAATTAAGGATAAAATATTAATACATTTCTTCAATAGTGATTTACACAATTTTGTATTTAAAATATTTGAAAAATACTTTCTACAAATTTAAAGTATTCAAACTTACAGAGAATTAGACTATTTGCTTAGATTGGAAAACATGTCATATTTATAATTTGTTTAGATAGTATCATTATATGTAAAACATAACACTAATCATATAATTACAGTGAGATAGAACAAATGCATTATTTGTGATACCAGTTAGATAGAATATGACTGAGAACATTATACTTGATTTATTGGTTTTATCCAAATAATAGCTGCTCTAGAATAGTAATTAGCCACATCTACTATTCAAGAATTTCTAAAAACATAAGGAAACAATGTAAAATTAATAAATACTGTAAATTACAGTAGGTAGGTACCATATTTATTTAATAGACAAACTTTAATAGAAAAAGAAATATTAAAATTACAATATGCTGTAGGGTGTATTTTTTATATATTTTCTTATTACTGGTATATAGAAAGTAACAGTCATTGTAAAGAAAGCTGTCAATTACCATTTCAATTATAATTTGCTTTAAAAATCAAACTTTCATAAATAAATTTTTAAATACTTTATTAATAATGAACAACAAATGGGTATGTGCAATGGAAATAATTACCAACCTTGAATAGTAACTACAGAGAAAATATGCAGTTTAAATAATGGCCAAGGCTAATATTTGAATAAAACCAATATATATACTTACCATCTGCATTGATGTGTTACTACCTTCATTGTATTTCAATTGTTTAGATAATAAATTTATTTTAATATACTTCATAATTGTTTTAATATCAGTTCAATTAAAATATGATTTGAGTTCATCCAGTATTCTACCAGATATATTTAATTTTTTATTCTGATAATATGGAGTGGGATTGAATAAATTAAAATTTATATTATATATTATGATTATAATATTAGATACAACAAAGATCTATTAATGACACACAAAAGGTTCCCATATTATTGCTGATCTTTTATAATATGATATCACATCTAAATACAGATATCTAAAAATGAAAAACTTTGGAATTTTAATACATAACAGTTTTGAACTGTTCAATAGTTTGAATCATAGCGCATTGTCTTTGTAATTGAATAATGCTGTATTAATAGAGCAAATGATTACCCAAATTGATCATGTGTCCTTGAGTAAAACATTTAAATCTGTAATAACTTGATTGGTTTAAAAAAATAGCTAACTTATTGTAATGTTTCATAATGTACTGATCAGAGGGCCAGATGTCTGAACAGTTAAAGGGTCAGACTATTGCTCTGGAGAACTCAGGAACAAATCCAGATGGATTGAAAAACCTCAGGAATTTCTTGAGGATAGTCCATCTTGGAAATGCTGGAAATCTCTCTCTCACCATTCAGTCAACCCATTGTGGACCTGGCTGAACCCACAATGGGCTTGATGAAAGTTCTCTTGGTGCTCACTGGACAGAAAAAAAAAAAAAAAAAAAAAAAAAGGTACAGGCCAAACAGATTGAGCATATATTGTTAAATTAGATTATTTGAAAGTAGTGAAGCATACATTTGTTTTGTTTTAGCACGTAGTTAATAGATTTATTTTCAAAATCTTTATAATTTTGTTTACTCGAAACTCATTTTTGTATCTTCAGAGTACTGTCAATTTTTAACAGATTTTTATTTGATCTTGTATTAATTTTTCCATAAATATTTAAACAATATACTATATTGCACAGAATTTATAGTAACAGGCATCCAGAAAAATCTGTACAAGTTTGTGTAATGTAGTTTTTATTTTGGAAAAAATTAAACTCTATTAACTAAACAGTCTTTTGAAATGTGATGAAAAGCTGTATATTATCTTTTATTTTTGTAATTCTACAAGTTCCCATCATCAAATATAATTGATTTGACTGAGTGTACAGTATCTGTACAAAACTTTGGTTCATATTTTCAGACAATACTTTATGCAATTGATCAGCTGATCTGTTTTTTTTTTTTTTTTTTGCCCTCTACCCTTTTTCATAAATGGCAGCTTTGAAACTACCCAAAAATCCTTGATTGGCTCTTCTGGCATGTTTGTTGGCTTGTCCTTCTTTTCATTGAAGGTGATGTTTTCTTGTCACAGATAATCCAATATGGTTTTGGTATAGTGGAACTTGCTTGATCTGGCCAGAAGATATAATCTGCTTGAGAATAGTTCTTTTGAATGCAAGGAATCAGGCAATATCATTTACATTCATGTAAACATCACTAATCATTTCTAGAAAAACTTGATTTTATGATTAGAGCTTGACAATCATTTTGGTCCCATTACAGTTCAAAATTTATTTTTCTTGGAAAACTCTACATTGGCAAGTGTAGGAGATATCATCAATAGTATAAAATCCACTATTGCCATTAATTGTTAAGTGTAAGGGAGGTGAAGAAAGATTCATCAGCCAAAATAAAGAAATTTTCAGAGAACTTTTGCAATAACCTTCAGCACTTCATCTTTGCATATCCTTTCTGCCCAGAATTAACTACTACTTTTGATATTTAGTATGTGTTTTTTTTAAAGCATCATGGAGTCATTATGTAAAATTTTCAGTTTCAGAACTACAGATTGAATTGAAACCTTGTAGCTATCTTCAAAGGTCCTCTTCAATCCTTTCAACTTGGTTTTCATTAGAATTTTTACTTTTCTACCAGACTCCTTTCTTTTATGTACTGGTAATCTCAGAATATTGGAGAATTCATTTTGTAGTCCATTTTGAAATTTTTTCATTTGCAAAATGGTTCACAGTAAAAACTTTTCTTAATCTTTTTATTAATGTCTAAAAGTTGTACATTCTTAGATATAAAGCATTTTCTTTCATTACTGTTTTGAAATAAGCAGAAAATTGAATGCAGAAAAGGGTTCTAGAATGTTATATAGCATTCCACGCACTTTCAAATTATAGCATATGCAGCATAATTGAACTATTAGCTAGAGCCTGAAATATTTTGTGCAGATTTTTACCAGACATTGATTAGTAAAAATAATAAGTAATGACTATGTTTCATCATTTGAAATGTTAATATCATGACTAATTACTACTGCTTGAAAAATATGAAGATTCTTTTTAACCAATGTAGTTGTAATGAACTTAATTGCATGTTCTCATACTATCTTTATATAATTTAGTTTCAAAGAATAAATCGCCACCTTAAACAGCAATATAATTTCAAACTCTAATGTTTTTGGCCATAGTCAGGATTTCTTTAATATCAAATTACGAAACATTCAACTGTTGTTTTAAGAAATTTTAAATATAAATTTTGAAATAATAGTCAAAAGTTCTATAATTTGATATTGAAGAATTGATGATGGTCTTATAATCAAGCAGTAGCAGCTTAGAATATAAACTTAACCAAAAATATTTTAGTTTGAAATTATATTGCAGTTTAAGGTGATAATTTATTCTTCAGAACTTAGTTAATTGCTGTTTATTTTTCTAATTTGTTATCAAAGTATTCATCTTCAGAATGTTGAGCATAAATATATGTAAAGTAATAGTTAATCCAACAGTAAATGTCAACTGAAAGAATATTTTTTGCATTTTCCTGTATGATGCTTTATCTGTGTGTATATTTCACAAATATACTGAGTTAATAGAGAGGTTGAGGCGCACGTTTTAAACGTGTAAACGTGTACGTGTGACGTTCGGCGCCGCTTTCCCGTAAGCCTAAAAGTTTGACAATGGTGTTTGGATAGTCGGTGGAATCACGCTCGACATTCCAAACATCATCGTCAAACATAATCTATGTTTATTGCAGGGGTGCACAACCTGCGGCCCGCGGGCCACATACGGCCCCTTATCAATGTTTATGCGCCCCGCGGACGGTACAGGCCAAATCCCTTCTTTCGAAGTTTCTAAGTGTAGAACTTTTCCCTTTCACAAAGTCATTAGCACCCAACTGTTTTATAACTTTCCCTGAAGTGAGAAATGGGGGGTTGTTCTATAAATAAGTCTATTTCTAGCTAACACTTTCTGGTTTAGATATCGAATATTCTAAGTCTAATACATAGTATTATAACGATTTTTTTGAAGAATCAAATAAAATAAAATGATGTTAGAACGTCATTTCCGATGTTATCAGGAAGTTTCTATTTTGGCGGGAAATCTTCAATTTTATGCTTCGGAAAACTTGCCTATTCGTCTAAATAGCGTCAAATAACAAAAATAAGTGAAAATAGCGCTGAAAAACCATGAAAATAACGATTTTTTAGCATTTGTTTACATTCTAGATTCTGATTGGTATAGTCGAATTTGAATCAATCTTTTCTGAAAAGACGCTTATTCGTCAACCTAATGTCATTCAAACTAGAAAAAAACTAACCAGAGTTCAAAAAGGAATGTACAAAAAGCTATAAAACCAATAATTTACAACAATATCTCTCCATAGACAAAGAATAGAAAAAAAATTTTTCACATCAAATTTATTATTATTAAGTTGGACCAAGAAAATTAATACTGTAGTTGGAATAGAGTCATTACGACTAAAAGGAAGCCATTTGCATTAAAATATTTTGGATTTAATAATTATTACAAACCGCGTCAAGCCATAAACTTGTCAACAAAGAGGGTTGTAAAATGATTCCGTGTAGCTAGAAAGCTGCGGTTTTTTTTGTTTGAAAGAAAACAGATATATTTAGGTTATTTAAGTAGTAAATTAATTGGAACTTTTTATTTACTTTTATTTTTACATTCTTTTTTTCGTAAATTTAAAATTAAATTATTATTTTTAATTTTTATTTTATTTGAAATTTAACAGTCGTAAACTGTGATATATTTAGGACAGAAAAAAAAAAACAGATTGATTCTAGCGCCAATTTGAAACGAGATATCGCAATTTTAATAATTATATTTAAAATATTCAGATTTTCCACTGCACTGTGTTAATCACTTTTGATTCATTTCTGAACACGGGGGTAAAACTGACGGGCCATAAATATAATTTAGGTAAGAATGGTAACCACATTTATGATGGATTAGTGTCCTGCACCTGGCATGTTGACGATCTGACTCACAAATTCTGAGAAATGGTGGAGACGCCCGGACAGGGGTCAAACAAATTAAGACCTGCCTGGCCACGTGTGCGTAATAGTCTTCTGTCCCCGCCTCTTTAGTCTTTGGTCAGAGTGGATACAGAACAAAGCACGTGGTAGTCTAGCTTGCCTTATCTCAAACATGATTTGTTGCGGGCCTCAGAATTTTCGGCACAATGAGACATTGTTTTGCAGAGTGAACAGTATGGCGCCGGGCATTAAACGCAAGGTCAATCGCGAGAATCATCAGTTTCAAGAAGTGGAAGTGTGGACTAACAAGTACTGTTTTGTGCAACAGAACAACAGCATTATTTGCCTTTTGTGCAATGGAACAATAGCAGTGCCAAAAGAATTCAACCTGAAGCGACATCATGAAAGCCAACACAAGGATTTCCTTCTGCAAGGTACGGAACGCAAACGGAAAATCGAATCGTTACGACGATCACTAATCAGCCAACAAAATGTGTTCAAGAAACAATCTGGAGAATTGGATGCGGCTGTTGAAGCCAGCCTAGAAATATCTGCTTTAATAGCCAAGAATGGGAAACCTTTCACAGATGGCGATATGATAAAAAAGTGTCTTATCATCGCAAGTGAGATGTGTCCTGAGAAGACAGTGTTTTCAAACAATCAGTCTTAACCACATGACGATACAACAAAGAATCTCGCAAATTGCATCAGACATTTCTGGCCAACTTAATATTTTAGTTGCAAACTGTGCTTATTTTTCTTTGGCTGTGGAAGAATCCACTGACATATCATCAACAGCACAAGTGATTGTGTTTATTAGAAGTGTTTCACTAGATTTTATTGTGAATGAAGAATTTCTTGGCATGGCATCACTTTCTGGACATACAACTGGTGCTGACTTATTTACTAGTTTATTGAGCGTTTGCAACAAATCAGCACTGGACTTTGACAAGCTATCCAGCATTGCCACTGATGGAGCACCATCTATGGTTGGATGTGAGAATGGCATGGTCACCTTGCTGAAAAACCACCTTGGGGACAGGCAAAAGGAGTTAGTCCAGTATCATTGCATAATTCACCAACAGCAACTTTGTGCAAAGAAGCTGGGATTTGAACGTCTGCTGAAAGATGTCTATGATACTGTGAACTTAATCCGCCGTCATGGACTCAACCATCGACTCTTCACATCATTTCTTGAAGAAATAGATGCTGATTATGCTGACCTGCCCACGTATACTGAAGTTCGTTGGCTGAGCAAGGCAACAGTCCTCAAGAGATTTGTGGAGCTATTGGGGCCTATTATCACTTTCCTCAAAGAACGGGGGAACACTACAAGGAATTTGGAGGGACAAAGATGGCAGTGTGATTTAGCTTTCCTTGCTGACATTACTGCTTATCTAAACGACCTTAATTTGAGATTGCAGGGAAAGATGCAACTTGTTTCTCAGTTGACAAGTAACATCAATGCATTTATGACCAAACTATCACTTTTCAAGTCCCACATGCAATCAGAGAACTTTACACACTTTCCACATTGCAAGGCCATGAAAGAGAAATACCCACATATGAAGATGGATTACTCTGACCAAGTTAACACCCTCCTTACATCATTCAATGAGAGGTTTGGTGAATTCCAGAAATACAAGATCTACCTGCAACTTTTTTCAACTTCATTTGATGTGAAAGTGGAAGATGCCCCTCCAGATGTCCAACTTGAGTTGATAGACATCCAGTGCAGTGATGAATTGAAATCACAGTTCAAAAATTCTAATCTCCTCACATTCTACAAAGAACTGCCAGATAAATCATTTCCAAAACTGAAAGACAATGCTCGATTTTGTGCAAGCATGTTTGGCAGTACCTATGTATGCGAACAAGTGTTTTCGCTTATGAATTTAAACAAGTGCAAAACACGGAACAGGTTAACCAAAGAGAATTTGGAAAATCTGGTTGTTTCAACATCTGCCACTACACCAGACATCAAGAAGATTGCTGCCAGCATCCAATCTCAGCCATCGCATTAATCGCTTGGAGGTCCAGCCCCGAGTCAGTAAACTTAACCCTAATTTGGCCCTTCTTCACAAAAGGTTGTGCATCCCTGTTTATTGCTTTAATTTAATGATCATAATGGATGAAATCTGAAATCATAATGTGTAGATCATGGAAAATCTTATGGAATGGATACAGTTTCTACAAATATGAAAAATATAAAAGCATTATATTTTAGTGTTCTTTGTAAAACAACTAAATTTAGATATTGGTTTTTACAGATTAAAAGTAATCACTGAATTTTTACTTTTATTAATGATTTGTGTTGAGACAATATTGATTAAATATATCATTGAATGTGTTAGATTTAAATTATAATTGCTGAGTTTTGAACATCTAAAAATTTAAGTTTTTGAAAGTATCCAGTGAATTTTCACTCTTAATCTATCTCATTGTTTTAAATGTTATGAACTATTTAATACATATTTTCACAGTTTACATTAAAAAGTTTGTGAAAGTTGTATTAATAAATTATTTTAAAGATATAAACATTTATAAATCTGATTTTTTAGATTAATGCCAAATGATTGCTGGATTACATTGGGCTATATTAATACTATTATACTACTACTACTACTAATACTACTACTACTTAATATAATACTATTATATTAAGCTATATTAATGCTACTAATTACTAATTAAATATCAAGTAATTTGCCTGGAGGTAGGTATTAGGCAATTTAGAACATTCTGGAAGAAAAGAATTGGCCCAAAGTGTTACCTAATTACTTGATATTTACTTAGTAATTAGTAACATTAATGTAGTCCAATGTAATCAGGCAGGCATTTGACATTAATTATTTTAGAGATGTTTTTTAGTGGATTCTGCTCTCAAACTTTCAGTATTAATATTATAGATATTTTAATTTATAATATTTTTAATGAATTGTTGGTCAATAAGAGAATTTATTAATTCATATAGAACCAGAACCACTTCCCAAAAAAAGAAAAGTAGAGTTACCAGTTGTGACTAGTCGAGATGATGAAATTCAAAGCCCAAGATCACCTCCTGGAGAACCACCTGATGTGAGTTTAAATTTTATTTGTAAAATTTACATGAAATATTAATACATTAAATTGAAATAAATTATTAATAGCTATTTCTTGCCAATAATATTTTTCTTATTTCAATACACTTAATCTATTATTATCATGCTTAATTTGAATTACAGTATTTTTGACAAATAGAATATCAATAGTTTCAAGTAGAAGAATTATTTATATTCCTCTCATAAAAGCTTTAATACTCTTTCATAAAAGTTTTTTAATTTTACAAAAACATATTCTTTTATCTTATAGATATCAAATTTTGCTGGTCATTTTCTAGTATATTATATAATTCAAGCTTAAAATACTATACCTTAGTGTATCATTATTATAGCAAACTTTAATGAATTTTATTTTGAGGAACTCTTCTTTCCACATTCAAACAGGAGGAAATTTTTTGTAAACTGATTTAAAAATTGATACATTCAAATCAGTTCAAATTATTTTGTTTCTGAAATCAAATGAATGAATCTTGATTATTTAAGTGATGCCATAAACAACAAAATAAAAAGAAAAGTTTGAGTTTATTCACAGCATAAAAATACAGTATTCATTATTTTAGATTAATATTTTATTCCTTTAAAATAATTTTCACTGGTAGACTTTTAATTTTTATACATTATTAATAAAACTCATAATTAAAATGTTATATTGAATAAATAGCTTGTTTTAGCAGAAATATAAATAAAAAGTTCTGTTTAATAGAATATTTTCATTTGATGTCTAAATAACCATAAGATATATACAATTGAATAACCTTTAAGGTAAGTATATATCGGGGCTGCGGTGTCGGTAAAAAATACTCAACTCCGACTCCCGACTCCAGCAAAATTAAATATCAAGTCACTTTATGGGGGGCCGAGGCGCTCATAGGGAGTACCCTATTCTGAATCAGAGTTCAGAATAGCCGTTTACCCAAATACTTTTATAGTTAGTATTTTTAATATTTAACTTACATTAATATTTATTTGTATACAAAAATTAAATTTTAACAAATATATTTATTCGACAGCATTTTCACTTCAATTTCACCTTTTCAGAAGAGTTAGTCCAACTAAAAAGTGTGCTATCTAGCTAGCTACTTCAGCCACCTTGTTTAGAAAAGAAAAATATGTACTCTGATCAATTAGCCTAGCTTATTCAGAAAAATAGAGTATTTATTTAGAGCAGGGATATTAAAGGAATAATTCAAAAATATTCTAATTCAATTGGGTCAAATTAATTTAACTAATAAACACAAATACTACAAAGAATACTACATATTTAATAAATTAAATTGATGCATTTTGTATTTAAAAGGAATGAATTATAACAAAATACAAAAATATTTTTAAAAATTAATAAATATATAATAAATTTTCTTTCATTTAAATAAAAAAACTAAAGTAAATGTTGGAGTTGACACATTTTTTTCTGACTCTGACTCCACAGCCCTGTACACCATGTCCACAGCACAGTATATATAGCAATAATCTATTGTTAAATGGCATTTATACATTTAATTATTGTGACATAAATTTTATATACTAAAATTTTTATTACATGACTAAACACAAAATCTTATTATTATTTTTTTTGTCTTATTTTACTCACATTAAACAAATTAATAAAAATTTAGAAAATAAAATATATAATAAGCTAAAATTAGCAATATTTGCCAGATATAATCAGTCACTTTTATAACTATTTAAAAGGGATTTTTTGGATGAATAAACTGAAATGTTATGTCCTTTCAATTGGACTCTCACTTGAGTTCAAGAATTACTCACAAGACAACCCACTGTAATTGATTTTGAACAGTCCAAAATATTGGTGGAAGCTCTATTGTGGATTGTACCTTTACTGAAGAGGATCGGTGAGAATTCTGATCCAAAATGTATTTAAATGAAATATCTGAGAATGAATTGTCTTCTCAGTAATTCTTGAACTCAGGTGAGTGTCGGATTTGAAGGACTTAACATTTCAGTTTATTCATCCAAAAAACCACTTTTAATTAATTAATTAAGTGGTTATAAAAGTGACTGATAAAATACATAACCATACTGGTCACTCATGGTGCCAACTGGAGATGACTTTAGGTGTCCACAGCTCTCATTGACTCTCAGCTGATTTATGCTTCTACCAGCCATGAGTGACCAGTCTGTTTACAATATAAATTAGTTAATTAATTAATAGCTCTGAAAGTGAAGATCAGACAAAAATCTGGGTAGCATAACTGGCAATGCATCTGTATAGTAAGCTTGAATTGTAGGGCAATCCATTATCACCATACCTATTTATCTATGTCACAAATCATAAAATTAAACAGTTTACCAGAGAGGAGGATAGTTTCATAGTGGAAAATCAAATAATTCACAATCAAATATGCAAATGATGTGGTTCTAAATTTCTCTGATTAAAATTACATCTCACTCTGAGCCTATTCTTTTCTTCCAGAAAATTCTAAACTTAAATTAAAAAATTAATTTATTTCAATTTATTAAATGACTATCACAAGATGTCAGTCTAATCACCTACCTCTAGCCAAATTGTTTTATACCTGATTATTAAATTAGCCTCAATACAGCTTTATAAATAATCCAGCAGATTGTTTGGCAATAATAACACTATTATTGAAATAGTCTTAAAATATATTTTATTTAAAATAAAAATAAAAGTTTATATTTAAATAATGTCTGTAGAGTTACTAACAGATACAATAATGACTTTTTAACATTTGTGAAGAAATATTGATCTTACAAAAATTTTATATTCAAAATTATATTTCTTTATAATTATGCTAACCTTATTTTTGATCTCTATAAAATTTCTTTGAAAAATACAATACAAAAAAAAATTTTTAAAGAGTAAAAATTATTCATTTTTCCTGATAAAAACAGCCAGAAGAACTTATAAAGGCTTTACAAGATTTGGAAAATTCTGCTTCTACAGATGCAGCAGTTAGAGAAAAGATTGCCAGTTTACCACCAGAAGTATCAGATTCTTCTCTACTAGGGAAAATACAAGGTAAATGATTTGATTCAACACTAACTATATGTAGTATATACTTTCCTTACAGTCTCATTATATCTTGTTAAATTTGCAATTTGATGGAAATTTAAAATACTCTGATTTTCTGTGGAAAATATACATATGTACAAATAACTCAATATTTTCTGTAAGGAAGTAACTTGGAATTATATTTTTTGAAATTTACAACATTTAGATCAAATAAACTAGTGTTATCATAGTACATTGAAATTGCTGTGTTGATTAAAGTTTTGTAACCTATTTTTCTTTATAAAGTACTAACCAACTTGATTTGTATCTAAAAAACTTATTATTAGTAATAAAAAATGATTGTTATTATCTTGAGATTAAAGCCAATGGTAAACATCAACAAACTGGAAAAATCTGTAAAAACTTAAGATAAAAATTTCTGGATTTGTTGTAGATTTATTTAAAATAAATTAATAATTTCTTTACTCCGATATTTAAATCCTTAATGAATTATATAATCTCTGTCTAGTCTATGACAGTCATATGTACAAAGTATGAAAATCAATATGTAAGATTTGTTTTAAACTTAATCTGTTCAGTTTATATATACAGATGACTAAAACAATTAAATTAAAATTGAAACTTTCTTTAATCTATAAAAGAAGAAAAAATCATTTTAATTTCGAATTTTTTATGATGTCGGTAGTACTACTTATGGGAGCCAGTCAGTCTCCTTATCTTTCTGTACAGTTCTGTGGATATAACTGCTCTTGTCATTAATCTCCTAAAGTAAGTCAAAGTGGAAATGTAAACAAACAAAAGGGTGCAAAAATCTTTTATTTTGAGAAGAAAAAGATGTGATTATATATTTTTTACTAGTTAGCTACTGCTTCATCATTTAAAAAGTTTAAAATATTTGCACCAAAGAAAAACATTAATTTTATAAAAAAAATTTAAAAATCTATATATGTTCAAAAATAATTTTTCAATGTTAAAAAACGATGGTAACCCTTTTAAAATTTATTTTATTATTATTTTTCTTATAGTTATTTGTTTCATTTTAGTGAATTAGTCTTTACAGATTGTTCTGTATTGCCTCTATATTGTAAAAGAAGGAAATAAATGGACATGTTAAAAGTATTATGGATTAAATTTATTAACTAAAAACAAAATCATTGCTTTACTGTAGTATAATAACAACATCACAGAATAAAGATATTCATATAATAGCATTTTTATTTATTGATAGGATACAAATATAATCAAACCTTGATTTAGTACCCTTCTAAATAGTGTCACCCTTGTAAAGTATCAATGAATATTTGTGAATGAATCTTCTTCATAAACACTAAAGAAATCTTCAACATATGTGAATTTCTACATATATAATTTTGTATTATAAGTGACATTGTTATTATCAGTTGCATGTCTTTCAAAATCTGTAACGGTAACTTACTATATAACTCTTATTGAATAATCTGAAGTACAACAGTTTAATGCAACACTTGATATTAGTGCCAGTTTCAGAGATGAACAAATGATGCTGCTAAATTGAGGTTTGAATATATAACTTCATACATGAAATGCTGTCTCCTACATTAGTGCAATCAAAAATATTTCAAGAATCAGCTAATGCAACAAATATTGCATTAATTGATTGTTACTAAATGAAAGATTTTAATTGAAAATTGAAATTCTATCATAATAAATATAAAATGAATTTATTGCAATGCCAAATACAATGGAATACAGATAAATTACTTATAAATCATTCAGCATGATATATTCTAAATTCAACCTAGAAATTGGGAATAATCAATTGTATAAATCCTAATAAATCATAAATTGTCATGTTCTTATTTGTACAATTTCAAATTATATAACTTAAAAGTTATAAACTGCTTCTAAGTTACAATTCTATTGATAGTAAGTCAGATAGAAAATCCATACAGTCAGTTACTAGTCATAGATGAGTTTTTTTTTTCCGACTTATAGGAAAAGAGAAATTATTAATTAGTTAAAAAGTATTATTAATTATATGTAATGTAGATTATTAATAAAAGAAAAAAAATTATCTCGAGTTCATTATATTAGAAGAAATGTGTAATTTTATTACAAAGTTTTCTAAATCGACATCAAACTATTATTCTCCAGGCAACCAAGTTGATTTTCAAGTTTGTGAAGACCGAGGTTACAGTCTAAGCGATCAACCGAAAATAACAAGTAATTCTCAAAAAAAAGAAAAAAAATTTTATGCGTTGCAATCTAATGGGTATTTTAACTAAAATGAATAATTGCATTTCATTGTATCCTTACGAAATTAATTTTAATTAAAATATGTCATTAAATATTAATCCAATTTTATAAAAATTCTAAAACACACACATGATTTCTAAATCATAAATGTAACTTTAGTGAAAACCCCGTTTTTTTCTTAACTTCATTAAAATAAGACAGATCTGTACGAAATCACTCTGGTTTTCACTTTCATTCTCAGGAACAAATGAAATAGTATTGACCTTCTGTTTTAGGTTGGTTTCCTAACATAAAGAAATGATGAAAGTTATATTTACAAAAAAAATAAATCATCTTTCAGCATAGTCATCAGGCATTACACATTCACATAATGATGAAGACAGTTTATTCCATAGTATAATTTCTGGTATGCTTCTTAGTAACATTTTTAATGATCTATTTATGGATGATGTACCATACCTTATCATGTTATCCTTGGAAATGAAATGAGCCCACCAGTAGCCAAGCAGATAAAATCACCAAACACTGGTAGTTGGTCATGGGTTCATACCTGAACAATAAGTGACTGCATGGCACTTTCTGGGTTTTCTTCACATTTATACCTAGAGAGCATTTTCCTATATAAAGTACTCCTGGGAGGCACACACTTGACAGACTGCCCAAGTGTTGCATTGACTTGTTCCATCATCAGTCAGTCCTATCCTGGAAATGAAATTGAATTTATACAGATTTGTCTTAAATTTTACCGAAGTGTAAACTTTATCATTTTTCTCTGTGTTGAATTCTTGTAAAAACCAGATTGAAAAATTACATATTTTAAGTAAATTATTTTCTAACATGTATATCTGAAAATTATTAAGTCAGAATTTTAAGACTTCTACATAAAAAAGTTAAATTCATGAAATTAATTAATGAAATTTTTAAAAAAATGACAAAATTTAGTAGATTTTTTTCTGAAATTTGATCTAAATATTTTATTTGATTCCTTCAAATGAAAGGTAGACTGAGATATCCAGTGCAAGTATGAGATTTATTGTACATGTAAGGATTTACACAATACACTTGTTGCAGGAAATATGCAGTACAAGTGTACTGCATATTTTACAAAATGTCTACATGCTGTGCCTTTCTTACATGGGAACCAGACTACAGCTCTTTGAGTGTGCTTCAATGTATCCATGAGCAGCCTGACTTCACATGTCTCAAATGACACTGAACAACTCATTTATTCATTCATAGGTACAGACAGATACATCCCCTCCACTTGTACAGTGGGCACCACTGTACAAGTGGAGGAGATGTACAGTACAGTACCTACTTTCTAACATTATTGTCAGTGTTGCAACTACAGTCTACATTTCATTTGAAAGAATCAAATAATTCAAAATGAGTTGAGCTACTAGTAGTAATATACTCTTCAACTAAAAGTAAATTAGTATTTATAAACATTTGAAATGCAAAACATTTATATTATATATATATATTTAATTTAATTTAATTATTTTAATAAACTTTATTATATAATTCATAACTTTCTTACAGATAAAGAAACGGCTGAAAAGCTTTCAAAACAGGTAGACGAAGCTTGTTCTTTACTGGCTGATTATAACAGTCGTCTTTCTCAGGAATTAGAAGATCGTAAAAAGGTTTCCAAACTACTAAGTGATTTTACACATTCTCAGAAGGAAATATTAGCACAAATTGAACAAAAATTAGAGGTACTATAAAATGTTAAAAATGAAATTGTGAGTATTATTGTCGATAATCTTTAATCTGCATATTTATTTTAATTTAGGAATATCGCGATAAATTAAGGAGGGTAACTCAAGTGCGAAATGAACTGAAATCACACCTACAGAATCTTCCAGATCTTACTCTCCTACCCAGTGTAACGGGCGGTCTAGCGCCTCTCCCTTCTGCGGGAGATCTTTTTAGTCAGCGGTGAAATCTGTTAAGCCTGTGTTTGCACACAGTAAAAATAAGAATATGTATATCGTATATGATTTATTATATACACGATAAATAGTTTTGTATAACAAGCAATGTCGTGACTAGCTATATTTGCAAATAACTGATATATAGCTTGTACAAATTGCCCTCACTCCAGCACAATGCTGCTATAAATTGCTTCTTCAACAGTCTTTCAGATATTAAGTGAAAGATTATCTTTTGATATTGTACATAGAAATTTCAAGCATATTTTTTTCTCCTGAATTCTCTAGGTTTAAAATTTCAGTCTGATCCATCATGGTAAAACTGTATATGCTTTTCTTTACATGCAGACTATTGTTTCTTTAATAAAATAAAAGAAAAATAAATCGAGAGATTTGTTTCATATTTTTAAATTTGAATGAAATGGATAAAAAAAATATCTGTTCAAAAATTATAAATTTAACACACTACAGCTTCTTCAGACATTTTTCTGAAAGAAAAACTAGTGAATTACATGTTATGTGGTGAAAGTTTAATACAGGGTATTCATTAAGTTTTAATTAATGGAGGGAAAAATTGAATGGATTATTTTAAAATAGCTGACTTTAAACTCTTCACACATTAGAACAATTCCTATGTTACTGTAAATAAAATTCCTGGTTTTGCCATTTTAAAATGCATCGTATGAATAAAATTAAATTTTGTACGACATTTCACAAAAGTTTAAATTCTTCTCCAGCAAAATGAAATATTTTATCAATTATTGCAAAAATAAAAAAAATTAACAGTAATTAATTTTTGTAAAAGTTTTAAGTGTGAATGCAGATGACGAATGAATGTCATTTTATTTCAAATCCAAAGTGCTGGAATTGGAAGAAATGGATAAAAATGAGACCCTCCATTATCAAATTTTGCAAGTACAAAAGATTTCAAGAGAGATATCTTCAATTATATATTATTATTAGATTGATTGGAATGTTATATTGTAATTTTAAAGTTGTATTTTGTGAAACTTTATTTGATTTTAATTTTTTTTTTTTATGGATACAATCATGTTTAATTTATGAATTTATATGTATTTTTATTTTAAAAATAATTTAATAATTATTAATGTCTGTAGTTTGAGCATTTTGTGTTTTCTTTTTATATTTTGTAATTTATAACATTATTGTCAAAATGTTCTTCCCAAAAAAAGTATGCAAATTTAATGTTGTGTGTGAGTACTTGAATCCATAGAAGAAAATCCAAAATGTCAATTCTTTCCCATTAAAATCACAGTGTGATGTGTGTTGAGTTTGAAATAATTTGCAACAGTAAGTAGTATTAATTATAAAAAGTAAAATTTATTGATCATTTAATTTTAAATTTTATGTACATAGAATTCTGTTTATGTAGTATTAATAATAATAATACTGTTATGATGTTTAAATCACTCAAGTTGATGAATGTTTTTTATTTCTTTAATACAAAATTATAAAAAGTAAAAATGAAGTTGATGAATGTGTGAAAATTTCTGTTCTTTACAATTATGAGAATGAATCCTGCAACATTCCTCTAAGAATAGGAATAATTAGTGACATAATTTAATTGTATCCATATCCTTGTGTTTGATATTTTCTATTAATGACTGAGTGAAAACCAGTCCGAAAATAAGAGAACCTACAAATAAAAACGTACCCGAAATTGCAATTAAGACTTTGGTTTTTGGTAAAATGATAATGTCATCTTTCTTTAACGCCAATTGCAAGAGACATAATCCTGTAAAATAAGAGTAATAAATAAAAAAACTTTTAAGTAGAAGAATATGTATTATGTAAGTGAACTGAAAAGTCTTTGCATTGAGTTCTTGTTTCACTTTCATATAAAAACTACTATTTTCTTTTTTATTTTAACTTTCTCTGCCCTGTGGACACTAAGAGGANATCTTCAGAAAAATAAGATGAAAACATTTTTGATTTTGTATATGACATAAAATACAAATTAAAACATGCAGAAAATTTTACATATAAATTATTCCAAACTGTTTTTAAAATATTCCTTATTTACAACACAGTTTGTTAAAGTTTAAGAGAATTTTTATATAAATTGTTGATTAAAGACATACATTTTCAGTATTGAGGTTACTAAAATAATGTTTGTTAATTAATATATTGTAAAGATATTTAAAAAATGATTCTTGCAAAGTCATTTAAGCATTATAACTCTTTTAAAATATATTTCTTGTAGATATGACTTTTGTTTTGATATATACTGTACTTTGATATCAGATATTGCCTAAGCTTGAGATTTTTACAGATTATATATAAATGCGTATGTATATATAATATAATATATCCTTATACCTATGAATTTACATCATTATATGATAAATTTATACATAAAAGTATAAATTAAATCAATCAAATGAAACTTGCCATTTTCTTCAGGTGGGATGTCAACAGTTTCACTTTTGATGAATTCACTGACACTGGATCGTCCCGAATCGATAACAGTCCTCAATCTAACCATCCACCCCCCATCAGAAGTTTGATTTACGGATAAAGGATGAGGTAAAGAGTAGGAATCGTTTAAACTACTATTGTTCCTACTCCTGTTCCTACTCCTTACTTCAACAGTAGTATCGTCTAAAAGCGACATTTTTAAATTAAATTAACCAAAAAAAACACCTTTAAAAAGTATAGAAAGTTGATCTATTGTAATCTATCGATAACAAATCGAGCACATGTTCCCCTTTAAACATCACATGATCCATCGCTTGTGACGTCACAAAAGGGTAAATGCTCGAGAATTCAAAAAAATTAATCTATTGCACCGCACTACTTTAGTAACGTCGCGTGTTGTAGTTACTCCATTTTTTCGTGTATTTTTATATAAACTATTAATAATAATAATAATAATAATAATACTGTTATGATGTTTAAATCACTCAAGTTGATGAATGTTTTTTATTTCTTTAATACAAAATTATAAAAAGTAAAAATGAAGTTGATGAATGTGTGAAAATTTCTGTTCTTTACAATTATGAGAATGAATCCTGCAACATTCCTCTAAGAATAGGAATAATTAGTGACATAATTTAATTGTATCCATATCCTTGTGTTTGATATTTTCTATTAATGACTGAGTGAAAACCAGTCCGAAAATAAGAGAACCTACAAATAAAAACGTACCCGAAATTGCAATTAAGACTTTGGTTTTTGGTAAAATGATAATGTCATCTTTCTTTAACGCCAATTGCAAGAGACATAATCCTGTAAAATAAGAGTAATAAATAAAAAAACTTTTAAGTAGAAGAATATGTATTATGTAAGTGAACTGAAAAGTCTTTGCATTGAGTTCTTGTTTCACTTTCATATAAAAACTACTATTTTCTTTTTTATTTTAACTTTCTCTGCCCTGTGGACACTAAGAGGATCATTTTAGCAAGTCTATTACCAATTCAGCCACACGCAATATCACAGTTGGATGGTTAGGGATGGGCCTAATATATCCTGATGAATAACCCCCAAAAGACTTATCGGAGTTTTTTGACCTGTCCAGATTTGATCCCAGGTCCCCAGAACAGTGGGCTACCAAATTAGCCATTCAGTCATCCAGCTGTTGAATATTTGGTGGACCTACAAGTAGGTAAACTCAAATACTACCATTTCCCTTAGTAATAATCCTGCATGTGTGTAATGAGCGGTTAGTCTACTAGCAGATGAGAAGATTACTATTCAGTGTCTAATTCTTGACATGATCCTGTTTATTTATTTGTTTATGCTGCTTGTAGAACTCATTTGGCTGGTTACAGAATCATAGATAAATAGGTCTTCAGTTCATCATCCATTTTGAATCTATTTCACTGAATATATTGAGAGGAGCATTAGCAAAGCCTAGTCTATGTGGTTTATAAAATTGGTTCAATCAATTTTGATTAAACTTTGCCATTTTCCACTAATTACAATGAGGAATCCAAAAATGTAATAAAAAATGGCACTCCATGACTTTGTTTTTAAGATATAAGGTTGTAGCAAGAGCATGTGCAATGAAGTCATGTCCTAGGGTTGCTATCATGTCTCTATGCGCTTATTGATTTGATTTCATTCTCAAAATTTGATGGTCCAACTTTGCCATTTTCCATTAATTGCAGTAAGAAATCAAAACTGTAATAAGGGTCCATGACTTTCATTTTTGATATACGGTGGAGTCAAAATGAAAATGTCTGTGCTTCCTGATGTGACTGAGCACACTTAACAGAATTTTTGGGTTAAAAATAAAAACAGCATTGCATGTGGCTAACAGAAAATAGGCATGAAGAACAAACAAAACACAAGAACAAAGCAATTGATGGTGATTGCTTTGTTCTTGGATCGCATTGCCTGTGATGGCAAGTATAATGATTGCTTCTTCCTTCCTGGTTCCATCTCAATTCCATCACAATCAACAAGTCATGCAATGTCCTAGCATATTCTATTGACATATCATAGTGTTCTATTTACAAGATGCAAAGACTTTTTGATCACTAATAATTTCTTTAACAACTTACCTGGAAATATAAATATAAAAACTGCTGCTAGACTTCCCAAATACTGAATTACTACACCTATATTAGGTATAACCGCTGCTAAGAACACACTTGTAACAAACCATACCATAGCTATGATGATTCTTCTCAATCGTTCAAAACGCATCCCAGTCTCGATTGATATTTTCCTCAATTCAAGATACAAGTCATCAATTGCAACTCTAGAAAATAAAAGATAGTTTTATCATTCTTTATCTTAAATTGTTTATTTTCGAAAGGGAAGATTATATTAACCTGCCGCAAAATAACAATATTGGATATGTTGTATAAGTTTTGATTGCAAGTGCTATCAAACCTACAAGCACTACAGGATCTGTAGCATCGTAAGACTCTAAAATATCACTGGTGACTAGAGAACCAAATGTAAGGTAACCATAAGTTGCAGCTACTGTATATGTGAGAACACATATGGCCATTGCAACGATTACTGTTCTTAAAAATACACCAACACGTCTGTTTTTAAGGCACGAATATACTGGAACACAACTTACATGACACTGAAAATGTAAAATATCTTTCATACTTGGACTAGTATGTTTCACAAGTTACAAAATTTAAATACCTGATAACCGAAACATATGACAGGAATGACTAAAAACACATCCGTCCAAGCATCAGGTTTCGATTTGACGGGACCAGACTCATGTTTTCCTTCATAGAATTTGTAAATGACCAGAAATTCCACATACATTATTGATAACACTCCAAATGAACTGGAAAATAATATATTTTGAGAGAATAGAAAAAAAATGAAATACATTTTTTTATACAATACTTACCTTGCATATTTTAAAAAGTCTATTCTTTTAGGAAAACAAAATGGAAGGATCAATACAACAGAACTGACAATCATTGTAAAGTTTCTAGTCATATACCAATAATGACAAAAGCTGGAACCATACCACGAAGCTAATACTGCAGAAAAAAACAAATTGTAAATAACTTATATAGAAACAAAACTGAATTTGGTTTGGATAGCTGAGGCAGTCATCAGCTTGGTCAAATCAGGGCCCCTTCTAGGAATCCTAGATTGAAGACCAAGTCAGAGCCTCTGAAATTTTAATGGATAGTTTAATCCAGATACATCCCTCAACACCCAACCACTCATTGTAGATCTGGCCAAATCTATCTTGGGCATAATAATAAGTCCTATTAGTGCCTCTAGGGCATAGTAAGTTAAAAATATAATTAGACATTTTTTTAAATATTAATTAAGTCAGAGCAATATATGTTTATCTATAGAAAAAAAAAGAGCTCTCGATATAACTGTTCTGATTACATGTTTTGAGGTCATATAAAATTCACTATCATAAAATGTTATCTATATTATAACTCCATTTTGTACTTTATCTGTGAAAATCACCAATGTTTTCAGATTCTATCAAAAGTTTAATTTGTTTAGGAATGATAGCTAACATTTAACTGATTTTAGGGCCTGTGTACATTATATTAAAATTTAAAAATCAAATAATGATTATATTTTTGTAACAAATTCATTTACCTCTTTCAAATTGATCTCCAATTATTATCAAGAATGTTATACAAGTTCCGTAACAGTACAGAGCGACAGCTGCAGCACACAGCCTCCGGGCAATTTTGCCGCACATTCCAGAAACGACGTCTTGATAAGTGGCACATTTGTTCTCGTCCGAACAGTATGCCAAAATCACTAAAGCTGCTATAACAAATGTTAAAAGAACCTACAGAAAAAAAACTTTTATATAATTAAAAATAAAGATTTTTTTTTAATTTTAATACTGCATTCGTGTTTTAAAGACAACACTTCCCGTCTGCACTATGCAGGCGACGACAATTCCTCCCGCCTGATCGAAAGCCTGAGGAAAGTTTAACAGACCAGCTCCGAGAGCAGCATTGACAACAAGAAACACTGCAGCATACCAGCTGATACCTGAAAAGTCAATACATTTTCCATCACATAAGATTAATTTATTTATAATACATATGTATTATTGAAAAATCAAAATGCGATGCTAGATAGAAGATTCTGAGTATATTTTAAAAATTTAGAAACTACAGTAAAGCATTATTCATCTCTTAAATATTTTATTACAAGATACATATTTCTAGTTCTCTTCCATTATAAGAACAAAAATGATAATATAGAAAACACTTTACTATTGTTTTATTCATACAAATATTGACATTGTTTATTGAAATTTGTATTGAATGTAAACAAATTAATTGTATGTTAAATTTGAAATTTGACAGTAGCTTTGGTTCTAATAGTGTTTAATTATATTAATACTTTCCAAGCGTAACTGCTTCATTCTTGGAAGTACATTTGATTACGTTTCAGTCATAATTAAGTAATTTTCAAAAAAATAAAATCTTATTTCAAATTACTTAAATCTTTATCTTTAATAAATTTAACTAATAAAAAAAAGCAACAAGTGAAATTTAGAAAATATTGAACTTGGAAATTTTTTATTCTTTTGTAAATATTGTATAAATTGTTATGTAAATATTTAAAATATCTCTTAGTAGATTAATACCTCAATGTGCTTTTCATTATTAAATATTGCTTTTTATCTTAAAGAATTACACTTTTTACCTGTCATTATTCTTATTTCTTAAATTGTGGACTGGCTCATGGCCAAGGCAGTAAAGGCATAAGCTTGCCATTCTGCAAAACCCAGGATCAAATCTGGGCAGTTGAAAAGCCCTGGGAAATTTTGAGGGGGCCTGTTCTGGATATGTTAAGTTCTATCCCTCGCCACCCTGTTGTCTCTATTGTAGGCCTAGCCAACTCCATAATGTGCATGATTAAAAGGCCCTACTAGAACCCACAGGGCAAAAAAATATTTAATAAAGTAAATTTCAACAAAATTGTAAATTTTTTCTACTCTGTAAGTACTAAGAAGGCTTTCTTCATGCTATTAATAGGTTTAACCTGGCCTGTAATGAAGCAGTTGTATGGTAAAGATGGGAGCCTTCATATCCATCCACAAAATCTTTGAGGATTGAACCTGGATCCTTCAGAGAAGCAAATAGCACTTTTACTGCCTTAGTCATCTGGCCATTGATTGAATCACTTCTTTAGCTTATTGTTACATTGAAAAATCTTTATATTAATTTTATTATACAGTATACAATTAAAGAAATTCTTTCTACATTACTATATTTTGTTTTACTAAACAAGATTTAACTGAAAAGTTATATAAATACAAATTCTTACATAAAATAAAAATGTATTAATTATGTGTTAATTTAATCTGACTTATTAACAAGATATTATTATTAAATATGAAAAATTTGATTATTAAACAGTAATCAAATTTTTCATATTTAATAATAATATCATAAATATACATAAAATTTCTCAAATGCTTATAAAATAAAGTGAGACTGCAGATCTGGAAAGCTTGAAAGAATGATTAACCTTAAAAAAATTACAAAATGAGTGAGCATTTGTAGATTAATTACAAAATGTAGCATTTGTAGATTAATTAATGTGTCTTGAATTGTTTTTAAAGGTAACTCCACACATTTGGTATTTACCGACTGCTGAATAATTGCCTATTCATCCCATTGATTAGGCACAATATCCTGATAAGGAATGGGAAATGACAAATACCAAATTTTAGTCATAAATAAATCACCCACACTACTTGGTATTGGACAAATGTCGAGCAGACATTTGGCAAATACAGAATATGTGGAGTTGGCTTATGATGTATTTAAATTATATATAAATATGAGATTTCTGCAGTCCTGTTTTGTGATTTGTGAAAGATGTGATTTAGCTGGTTTTGCTAACTGGGACAAGTAGAATATTTAATTTCTAAATGTTTTACATGTCCAAGCTATCAGACAGAACAGTTAGCATGTTCTTTTCATTTCCAGTAAAATATATCTTTTAATGGCATCCTTAATCTTAGAAAGAACTAAATTTGATTTACATATTATAAGAAGATATAGACTGCAAGCATTTCCTGTCTGCATAAAATTTTAAATTTGGATGAATAGATCATCCAAGCTTAATAAAAGATATGATTTGGTTCCCACAACAAGAACATAATTCACAGTTTCTTTTTTGACCTGAGCAGTTTTTTATGAGGGCATTTATGATTATATGCTAATATTTCCATGCTGTTTATTATATATTTGTCCATTTTATATATCTAAACATAAACAAATAAAAATTGAGATACAAAGTTTATTATCAGTAATTCAACTAAAGAAATTTATATTTTATTTATGATTAACAATTCCTTATTTAGCATATAAGAATAAAATTACTGTAAATTAATAATTTAAATTTTCTACAACTCTTATATCTATAATGTATAAAAAAAAAAAAAGAGATTTCCCATCATGTTGGCTTCAGATAAAAGATTTTTTTTCTAATTGTAAGAATGAATATATCTAAACAGTAATATTATAATAAATAAAAGAACTATTCAATTAAGGAATAAATAAATAAGCTATGAAAGGTAACGTTCTTAAAATTATAGGTCTATAATTTTTTTCAAATTGCAGCCCAATAATATCAAATCATTAATAGCAACACTAATGATCCAATAGAATTATGACTATTGAAGCAGATTCTGCCTAATAATTTTGTAAATATATAAAAGAAAAATAAATAATGTAGTTGAATTCATCATTAAATAATGCTTCTTATGAGTAATTTAATTCATATCATTTTTAACAGTAGTTTGAATAGCAACATATGTTCTCAAATTTTTCAACATTCAAATTACATAAATAAACCTAAAATACTTTAACTTTTATTATTTAAAGCTTCTTAGATTATATTCTATTTTAAAGATTGAACATGAGAAATCAAACTTTTTAAATCTGTAAACATATGTTGCACTTTTTGACAAGGAAGAATGTCTGTTTCTTTATATTTATAGTAGTTTAAATGTGAAATATTAATAGTATCATCTTCAGGAACACAATTTATCAAATTATTATTATTATAAGGAATGAGATTTATGGCATCATTTTTATAATCAAAAATCTTATTAAGTATGAAACTATATTGCTAAGGCAGTAAAGGCCACTACAGCAGACCCAAGTTTGTCTAGATTGGCTCAAAAATTTTCATGGGATGGGTTGATCTAAATCAGTGATTTTCAAAGTTATTTGAACCATGGATCAATTAAACAGATAAACCACAAACACCTATGCCTCCATACACTTTTTATCCTGGAAATATAACCTTATATGCATCCCATAATATTTTGTGTATCCAGTAACTTAATGTAAGAGATATGCAATGCATGAAAATGTTCCTTCCTCTGACTAAAGAGCATAGATTTGCAGTTTGGATTATTGATTAGAAGACCACCACTATGCTAGATATTTTGAGTCTGAATAAACCAACAGTGAGCATGATTAAAAGACCCTCAGTAGATCACAGAACAGAAAGAATTAAAATATGTATGAAAAACAATGTTAAAGAATTGATAACTGTAATTTAGTAATTAAAGTAAATAAATTTAATATATTTCTGAGATTAATTTTATAAATTTCTTATGAAAACTTTTTAAATAATTAAAATACTTTATTAGATTTGGAATAAATTACATAAAAAGAGTGCAAACATCAAATCTCATCTTCAGAAAAATAAGATGAAAACATTTTTGATTTTGTATATGACATAAAATACAAATTAAAACATGCAGAAAATTTTACATATAAATTATTCCAAACTGTTTTTAAAATATTCCTTATTTACAACACAGTTTGTTAAAGTTTAAGAGAATTTTTATATAAATTGTTGATTAAAGACATACATTTTCAGTATTGAGGTTACTAAAATAATGTTTGTTAATTAATATATTGTAAAGATATTTAAAAAATGATTCTTGCAAAGTCATTTAAGCATTATAACTCTTTTAAAATATATTTCTTGTAGATATGACTTTTGTTTTGATATATACTGTACTTTGATATCAGATATTGCCTAAGCTTGAGATTTTTACAGATTATATATAAATGCGTATGTATATATAATATAATATATCCTTATACCTATGAATTTACATCATTATATGATAAATTTATACATAAAAGTATAAATTAAATCAATCAAATGAAACTTGCCATTTTCTTCAGGTGGGATGTCAACAGTTTCACTTTTGATGAATTCACTGACACTGGATCGTCCCGAATCGATAACAGTCCTCAATCTAACCATCCACCCCCCATCAGAAGTTTGATTTACGGATAAAGGATGAGGTAAAGAGTAGGAATCGTTTAAACTACTATTGTTCCTACTCCTGTTCCTACTCCTTACTTCAACAGTAGTATCGTCTAAAAGCGACATTTTTAAATTAAATTAACCAAAAAAAACACCTTTAAAAAGTATAGAAAGTTGATCTATTGTAATCTATCGATAACAAATCGAGCACATGTTCCCCTTTAAACATCACATGATCCATCGCTTGTGACGTCACAAAAGGGTAAATGCTCGAGAATTCAAAAAAATTAATCTATTGCACCGCACTACTTTAGTAACGTCGCGTGTTGTAGTTACTCCATTTTTTCGTGTATTTTTATATAAACTATTAATAATAATAATAATAATAATAGTTACTTATATTATTTTTTTTTTATCAATCATAAATTATCTAATTTCGACATTTATTTTTTGGGAATTTTGCCATTATTTATTTGGCAAGAAGTATTTTTCGAAGGTTCTTTATATTTATCCTTGAGAAAAAATGGTAAATATACGTAAGTAGATAACGTTTATGTTTTGCTTACGCATCTTTTAAATTTCGTCATTGACCAGATATCCTTGATAGATCGTGAACTTTGACAATTTGTTGTGAATGATACATTACATTAATGATGACAAATCAATAAATAAATTCTGTTAATTAATGAGTTTTGTCGATAGTATTCGTAATTCTATTCGATTTTGTTCTATTATCCATATGGGTGCTTCTAAATGAAAACAGCTAAGTAAGCAAACCAATAGCATAATCCGTTTCGTATGAAACGGGCTATATTATTGGTTTGTTTACTTAGCTGCTTGCTACTTAGAAGCACTCTACGTGTGATATTTTGCAGAATTCTAACTTTATCAATTTTCCTTTGGTACTTTTAAGTGTCCATTTATATTATGAGATCGTCCATAAATTATGTAACGCTACTTTTAACACTTTTTAACTTCACCCACTCTCTGTAACGCTCCATAAAGTTACCGCAAATTCCCCATCCCCAAAACTATGTAACGCATATGCTCGATCAAAATCCTTCTTTATTATATAATGTTCTGGTTCTTATAGTTCCATCTTGATGTTTGGTCTATTACCAGTGACCGAGTGGATAAAAACCCGTCGAACACTGGTAGTAGTTGATCGTGGGTTCGGGAGTTTTCTGGGCTTTCTTTCCGTGTTAGTAAATAGGAACTTTTCCCATAGAAAGTCCTCCTGGGAGCCTGTCTCCCTTGGCATATCGCCTATAGTTACTTTGCTGTATCTTGTCACTCCATTCAACTTCATCTTGGTTTTTGGAAATTACATGGACTAAAAGTTATTAAAAGGCAACATTATATGGGCTTTTTATATATAAAATATATTACAAGATTTATTTATAAAGTAATTAACATATTAAAACGCGCTTCTCAAGATTTTCAAAGCTTGAATTTGTAATTGTATGGCGTGGCGTGAGGACTATATGGTCATTACGGGTAAGTCTGATCTTCAATAGGATCGGATAATATGAGGGAGCAATACAGAATGACTCTCTCATCTGAATTATCCATGAAGATCCAGATCGGATACGTGGGCGATCTGCCGAGGGAGGTTCCTTTTTATGGAAAATTAGCCCCTATTTAGGTGTTACAAACGTGAAGATGCGTTGGCGAGGTTCGAACTCACGATCAATTACTAATGTTCAGTGGTTTTATCCACTCAGCCAGAGGCAAGCCACAACAATTCGTACTTCGAAACAACGAAAAACACGCACTTGCTGTACTCTCGATTTAAAATATGGCGACTCTAATGTACTCTACTTAGAGCGTGCGATTGCCAATGTCTTATCTTATCTATAAAATGTTTTTAATAAATTCGAGAATGAAAAATATTACAAATCAATAAGGGAAAAGAGTCTTAAATGTAGTTTTTACATTTTATATAAGTTTAAACTTGGTATTTATTCAACTTTAGAAATTATAATGCACTACCAGTTTATAACAATACACGGATAATCACTCCATAAAAGTGATGATAAACAATCTTGTTTTGTCGGTTTCCTTGATTAACAGTGCAAAGAACTGTGGAATTTGAAGCAGAGGTAACAAAACTTTAGCTTTATCCATAAACCGAAAGAGAATGGAATTATTATCAAGGTTGCATTAATACATGGTTATATCTGGTCATGGCCGTTGGCCTTCTTGAAAGCCTCATTTCAATGCTCTTTGCTAACATATTTGTTCAATATTTACATCTGTGTAATGCACCTAAAGAAATTAGGCCTGCATGTCGCGATCAATACGCGAAGTTGTGGATCCTAAACAAAAACGAAAATATAATAATTGGGCTGCAATTTTGAAAAAAATTCCCACTGTTGTCATCCCTCTGTTTTTCCTTAATCTCGAGAACGGAGTTATATAGATGAAAGACGAGACCAGATATGAAAACCTTGTGGGCAGGAGGCCCTGAGTAACTATATAAGAACTGTTTGTTTGTTTTTTTGTTAAGTTATGGCAACGCAACACTTGGGCGATCTGCCTAGGAGGGATGCCTTCCGGGAGATGTTTTTAAGGGAAACTGGCCTCTATTTAGGCGTTACAGACGTGGAGAAAACCCGGAAAACTCCACGTAGCCAGCCCCTCCGAGCGAGGCGCGAACCCAAGACCGAACTTCGTACACGTACGAAGACCGCTTGGCCACTGCTGGGCACTATATACGAACTTCCGATGTAAACTGGAAGTCACGTTATTTCAATTCAAAAATTTCCCCCGAATGGTGTTAGATAGATGACCGGCACGACTCTATTGTTAAAGGAAAAGTGTGATGTACAGGGGTAAGCCAATACTAATTTGAGGTGGAGAGCATATATTTTAAATAAAATTAATTAAAAATTGCCACCCAATATATAATTGCTCGCTTGTAAATAACTACAATTAGACGTTATTAGTTTATGATAACGTAAAATTATGTAAAGCAGACCCGGAAGGTCTTAATCCCCAATTGCAAGATGGGTATAGAAAGAAAGACCCTCTTAGTGCCTACAGAAGAAAAGAGATGAATGATTTTCTTTTCTTCTTTTTACTTTCCTGCTGTTATATACAACAGAAAGTATGGCCCCCAGATTTTTATATTTTTGAACTCGTGGGACCTTGAAACGTCTATAAACACAAAAAATTGGGTTTTTTTGTATGTATGAATGTTAGTGTGTATGTGTGTGGGGGAACGATTTTGTTGCCCCTCTTTGAAGCTTAATCTCCTGTGCTTTTTGTCGAAAATTTCTGAAATTTTGTAGGGAGGTTTGTTTATTAAGGGGATTGATGCTATTAAATTTTCGTTATTAAATGTCGAGGGAGTGGGGAGATAAAAGGGGTCGTGTATATCTTCAGTAGGGTCAGACTTAATGACGATTTTACTCGTTATTATCATTTAGAATTTTTTATAAACCCATCCCTCCCCTCAAAATTAAGCTTTTTGCCATTTTATATTAGTTAAAAATATAAAAAGCTTTTTTAAATAAACTATCATAACAGATGGCGCCACCAAATGTTGCCCGGAAAGTTAAGCAACTCGTTGCTGAATTTTTAATGAAGTAAAATGATAATTGTACAGATTTCTATCGAAGTAAATAATTTCAATTGTTTTGCTAATTGTAAATATCCTAATTTTGTATCATCAGGTGTGAAAATTTTATAAACAGTTCATTTATATTTTAATTTAAATTTCAGTTTATGGCCTATAAAAACATTCTCAAAAAATTATTTAAAAACACAGATTATTTACTTTGGCTTATTTGTTATACCATATACCAGTATGAAATCTTCGAATTTGTCAGCATTTTCTTATCATCGTGAAAAGTCTGATTTGTTTTTTCGTGATTCTTTTTGAGTCATTCGATGAAATGATGGAATGACTCATAAAAATTGTTCTATATCCCTCTGGATGTTATTTTGCATTCCTCGTCGTAATCCATAAATAAGGGCAAAATTTGAGTCTAGAATTACTCAAAATATTTGAAATTATATAACATTAAAAAGAGTTTTATAATCTTCACATAGTGCCTTTTATATTGCACAAACACGATATTATGCAAAGAGTCTATCTTCTTTATTACGTCTTTTCTGTAGATTGATTGAAAATCTCTTTGGAAAATGGTAGTTTAAAACATAATTTATATAAACAATACGACATATTTTTACATTTTAGACGAGGAAGAGTGCAATTTGAAGGTCGACTCCACTGCGCATTATTTTCCAGTGATGTGAAAGGGACGACGTGACGATTTTAAGAATATTTTGCTATATTTTCTAATTACAAATATTTTAAGTAAAAATTTGTTATTTTTTAAAACAAATATTAAGAATTATTTATAATATCTAGAGTTTTTCATGATCTAAATTCACATCTAAGTTTTGATAGAAAGAGTAGTCAAGTCTCTGTATATGTTATGTAGACGTTGTATGCGGCTTCCATTCTCTGCAGAAACTTTAATTGTTCTTCATATTCTTTTCTATATTCTTTCTGTTTTCATGTTGAAGATTAGAAGCCCAGGTGGCTATTTTTAGTCCTTTAACTGTACAAGTCATAATTGAACAATTCTCTCTTCCACAATGCCCCTAAGCTCTGGAGCATTGTGAAAGAGAGGATTGCTCCATTCTGTTAATGTTCGTGTCAATTATCACACAAGTCTAGACTTCGAGGAGCCTATACCATAACGAATCCATTGAATTTATCGTTGAGATATTCTGTAACTGAGAGATCAGGAAGCAATCTCATGCTTAAGGACTTTGTGAGAACTTTATATGTTATCAGTTTTCATTAATGAATGGCTTAGATATGAGATAAAATGTTATCTTTAAATTTGTTTATTTTCTTAAGTTTACTCAAGATTTGAGATTGATCGGAAATTATTTATGTAAAACACAGTTTACAAATAGTTAATCACATTGATAGTGTTTTACACTGTGGATTATTGGAATTTCACCATTTTGTGAATAAAATTCGGCTTAAACATAAAATTTATTTTTTAAAATGTAACATTATAATTTTAATCATCTTTCCAATAAGTCTTATAACAGTTCTGAATAGAAGAACCTCGCATTTACGATTCCTAATTGGTTCTTGAAAAATCGTCGTAAAGCGAGTCATTAGATTTCTATAAGTTCAGTGTGATAAATGAGGACTAAGTTCCTGAAAAATTACCTGTTTGTTGCCCCAAAGAAGTAACGAAAGAGGTTATAATATTAAATAAATTTTTATCTTACTTTTTAAATTATTAACAGTCGTAAAATCGGTAGGTCGTAAAGCGAGGATGAATTGCACATTGAAATTTGCATGTTTATTTTCAATAAAGTTTCTTTAAAGTCGATGCATTGATTGTTTTCATTAATAAACTGAGAAATATTTTTAAAAATACTTCTTCAATTATGATATTTTCTCTTCTATTCTTCATATACTTAATTAATTGGAGAACAAGTTGTACTTCATCACTTCTTAATATTTTCCGATAATTTCAAAAGATGTATGAATTAAAATGATACTTTATCCTTTACAATATTTTATTAAGATTAATTTTACAATAATTTGAGTGAATTTTTAGAAGAAAAATGCCGTATTAAGTTACAAAAGTTTTGCAAAGTGTATGGCTTCTTTGACGATTCTTTTGTCTCTATACAAAAACGTTTGACTAAGGATTCGGTGATCTGATCCGATTTTTACAATATAATATACTTTGCAATTTTTATTGAATGGATTCGCTTACTTTATTCAATAAAATATACGATCGAACTTATTTTTTTTCTACCAGAATCTGAGTCAATGTTCTACTTATACTTTTATATATCTTCTATAATAAAACTCCTGTACTCTTGAAACGAAATCATTGAATTTTCAGAAGAGGTGTTACTGACCGTAATAATGGTCAAGTATGTCTCTTCTGAAAAATTTAACGACTCCCTTTAGTATAATAAATAATAATATTACCGACAACATCAGCAATAATTGATCTTTCGTAGAATATATTATATAATATCATAAATATAATTTTTTATCACGTGGGTTTTTCTAATGTTTTAATAATATCAGTGATGAAGTATAATTTTATGCCTTATAATTCCACAAATTATATATAATTTCTATTATTGTTCCTAGGAATATTAGTAGGATAAAGTGTCTAAATTAAATGAGTCATTGTTGTGCCTTTTTTACTCCTGGAAGCTTTAATTTGCATTTAATTGAATAATTTTTTTAGCGATTAAGAAACTCATTTGTATCATTTAAATCGCTTCGGAAGGAATTTCTAATTAAGTTATATCGGAGAGTTCATCATTTTCTATTTACTAGAAGAGATAACAGGTTATCGTGATCATCCAGAATAAACTTTTAATGATATAGAATGTTATAATAAAAATATACTAAAGCTCTTAACCATTGCTCTAATGTTATTTAAATTAGCAATTTTATGTATTAGACCCCAATTTTATTTATTAAATTCAAGCTATTTCATTCGTTTTATTGAATAAATTTATTTACTGTACAAGAGCTTAGATGATGATTTTCATTGTCAATTCTAAGATTAATGTTACGGTTCAATGTACATTAATTATCTACTTTTTTGCTGATTAGATTGATACTGATTTAGTTTTAATTGATTCAGGATCGATAGACAGCTTTCATTATTAAAATAAGCTTAATTAATCAAGCTTGGAAACAATTATAGACTTTTATTAATTTAACTTGAGGATATTTCTTACGTTAAACTTTAAATTTAAAGATTAATATATATTTAGATCATTTTTTAAATCGGCGGGGACGTTTAACGCACTGGAAGACCATGACAATATCCGGAAATAGGATTCGTGACCTCTAGGAGGTCGCGACCTACTAGTTGGGAAACACAGCTTAAGTTACATTGTTCACGTTCGAGGTTACTTTATTCATTGATCTATATCATTCTATCTAGCTGATAAAGTGCATAGATCTATAGACAGTATAGGATAATGTACAGATATAATAATCAATATAGACTTATTTTGATTAAATTTCTGAATTATATATAATTCTATCCATTAAAAGTTAATTTATGGAGAATTTCGTAGAGATAATTTAAGAATTGAGATAACATTTCAGCGATACAGTTGCTGTGTATACAATTTCAATGAATACGCCTACAACTATCACTAAAACTTTTATGGATATCCAGGGCTCGACTTAAGCATATTTTGGCCCTAATATATAACATATAATAGGCTTTTTCCCTATTAAATTATGTAAAAATATGAGGCCCTAAGCTATAGAGTCATAACGCGAGGACCTAAGCTGCAATTTGTTTCGCCGATGTAAAAATTCGGCCTTGTATATATCAGATATTAAGAAGAAAAGCTTAGATTGTACTACATTTATCCTTAATTTAATTCATTAAAATCATACTTCCTTAAATCTAATTCATAATCTATTTATTACTAAATTGATCTCATTAAGTAAGGCATTCCATCAAAATCGAACTTACCTCAACCTAATTTTTATCAAAGCACTTACTACAGAAAAATAAGATTAAGTTGAAAGTCATTATTCTAAATAAACCTAAAACTATTTAGTAAACTTCACAGGGAAGAGAATTAAATAGCAAACAATTGACTAAGCAATAAATTAAAAATAGAAAGGATGTCGTGCGTCACGTGATATTATTAATAATGATAATTTGATACTTACTGTCATTCCTTTCGATAATGAATATAAATGAATTTAAAAAGAAATTAAATCTCTTCTCAGAAAGCCAAATAAAATAAAGTTCAAATTGAGAAAAAAATATATATATATATTTTTAAAACTAATTTTAAGATTAAAATTTCCTTTTATGAAACTTTAATATTAAAGAAAATTACTTTTTTCTTCCTCTTCTTCTCCTCCTCCTCCTCAGCTTCCTTCTTCTTCCTCTTCCTCCCCATCTGTAAGACAAGATAACAAGTTTTTCTGTTGACATAGAAAATTTAATAAATAAAAAGGCCATAAATATTCACAAAAAGTATCAAATATCATATTTTTTTTCCTTATTTTTCAAATTTAACATGATTACTAAATCATTAATAATACATTACTCTCTTCAGTAATATTTTATTTATTATATAAATATTATAATATTATATTTTTAAAATTTAGATCGTATAGATACATATCTCGAGGGGGTTTCTTTTTTCTAATATAAAATATATTTATTTATTATATAAATAATATAAAAAAAAGGTTGGTATAATTTATGAAATGTAATAAATATTTTGTATATAAATGTGTATATACTGTATATATATATAAATAACGTGCATGTAAAATAATTTGTTTTATATGAATTTGGACAGTATTTTTCTATTATTTTTATGTAGGAAGGATGGATTTTTATTAAGGAAGCTTGTGAAGAAAAGTTGAGATCATCTGTGCAGAAACATTTCATCTCGCTTCGTGATTTTCTCACATATTAATTAATAAAAAAGTAATTCATGAAACAATTTTTACGTGTTTACGATGACTAGAAAGCGGTTAATGTTTATAAATAATTGGTTTCTATCTACGCAGTAAGCGTTAAAGATCCTACAGCTTACACGTGGACGAGTCCCTTACGGCGCCGATTTTTATTCTACATTTTTTTTTTCGGAACTGTTGTTTGTATAATTGAATATATATTAATATTTTTCTATCAAGCAAAAGTAGAATAAAATTAAATTAACCGTCAAACGGTTTTAAGTTTGTTAAATTAAAAAAAGAAAAAAAAACTAATAATTAAAAAAAATCAATTATCCCCGATAGGAGACGTTGTAAAATTCCCAGACCCCCTTTCGGCTCACTCTTCCCCCTATTGGCATTGTTTATACGGAAATAACGTAGGGCGCATGCTTAAATCGATACAAAATCAATAGAAATAAAATATTAAATATAATCTATCCACATTACTTAATTAATAATTTAAAAAAAAATAAAAAAACTGTAAAAATAATTTCCCTTTTAAACTGTTAGGCGAAACGGTAAATCAGCCATTTTTACGTCTGCGGCGCTGTAATTACACGTATGACATCACCGGTCACATGACGTTCGTGGCCTAGTCGGCCAACAACACTAGATAACACAGCACAGACGGGGATAAGATAAACAAGTCGGTGTAAAACCAACGGTTAGATGGTTTCGCAACGTCTCTCAACCAACAAATCTAGTCTGTCTGGTTCTCGTCATTCGTTGGTTCGACAGTGAGAATCGACGGGTGGATTAAAAAAAAAAAAAACAATTTATAGAAGATAGAGTACAAGATGGCTACCGTTCCGGTAATGATTTATCTACTAATTTAAATTATTTGTCGATAGCGATCGAATTAATTATAAGAATGGGCGGAAAACAGAGCAGTACTACTAATAGTCCAAGAGTACATGCCAGTAATAGGACCGGCGCTAATTCTGGTATAGGTTTAAGTGTTCTCGCACATCATCATCTACGTGCTGGAAACAGTTCAAGAGCCGATGCACGTCAAAGGGCAAGAAGTCTTTCTAATGTGTGGAATGGACACACGGGTCAACCTATGACCATACCCGCTAATCACGGTGCATATGGACCAACTTCGGGTTCGCCGGACTCTGATACTAGCACGCCCGATGATATACCTTTTGGTAGAGTATTTGCAGCTCATTCCTTACCTGTGCAGTTAGTCTCTTTTAATGGTAAGTAAGATTTTTATTATATTTTTTCAATTATTTCTTAAAATAAAGTTAAAAAAAAATTCTACACCGAAAAAACACGCAATAAAAATGTGAAAGTGACACTTTTACACATAGAAGTTTATATATAGTTTAGAGAAATTCTTGCCGTTGAAGGGTATTTTCGAAATGTCACATTTATCTAAAACTTGGTTTATATATATAAATCCACAAAGAAAAACACATTATATAAATATAAACGAAATTTTCCTAAAGATTACTGAGAAAAATTTTATTTCGTTTAACTTTTACTAACGATTTTTAAATTTATTTTTATTTATTTTTTTCCTTTCGTCTCTAGCAAAGCGAGTTAACTTCGCTCTTGTTCGTCTTACTAGATTTCCCCCCCCCCTTTTTTTGGCTGTGTTTCAACTCCATTATTTTCACTTCGCTGATTGCTTTAGTACTAAGAATTTAGTAAAAGTATCGATATAAAGAATAAGAGAAGATATCAACCTGTATTTTTAAAACTTAACGATATTTCTCATTCGACTGGTAATGGCGCGTACAAGTCACCGTTTCGATTAAAATATGTGTATTTTTTAAAGGTTTTTAAAATTGTAAAAGCAATTTTAAAAGACTCGTTTGTAGAAATTTTAATATTATTGGTCAGTGTGCCTTACGGGTCACCTTGAAAGAGTTATGCGGAGTCATTTTCTCGGGCTACAAAAACACCAACGAAACGCATACACACACACACACACACACACACACACACACACCAACTCACCCTTTTTTTAAGGTTGACGAACTTATGTTTCGGCCAACGTTATATATCGATTAAATGCTTAACTTTTATGTATATAATTTTTCTTAAAGTTTATCTGTGTATATATAAAATATAACGTGACGTCACCTATTTAAATAGAAGGGCGTAGCGATCATTACCAAGTTCATTATAATGCAACCGCTCGATAATTAATCTCTATTCACATTTAAGGCGTGAAATAAAGTTTTATAATGTAGAAAGTGAATATAATAATAATAAAAAAAAAACGTTAAAAGTTTAAAATAATATATATTAAAACTCCACCCGGATTTGACGTCACCACTCGACATCCTGTCCGAAAAAAAGCTTTTTTTTTTTTTTTTTTTTTCTTGAANTTTTACTCGCTTTTATTTAAATTTTTTTATTTAAAAAATAGATAAATATACAAATGTTTAGTGTTAAATCAGTTTAAAACGTGTTAAACTTTCAAAATTTTTTTCGAATCCGTTACGTCACATCCGGTACGGAAGTGTCTCTTTTTATTGTTTGTTGTTATAAGACGGCGTGTTTAATTTAAACCTTAAGAACTATTAAAATTTTAATGAGTGAAATATATCCCGACACAAAAATTTAACTAAAATCAATTAAACGGAGCCTTTTTTTTTCTCTCTCTCTCTCTCTCGTTAAATGGTATAGTTAAAGGTAAACGAATTTTAATTGAGATAAGATTTTTAAAAAATGATATTTAAAATATCCTTTCTTCTTTTTTCTATTTTATTAATCGCTGTTTTAAATAATCGGGTGACAAAACCACTAATTAAAATAGCCGAAACTATTTTAATTAATAAGTTTTTTTTTTAATGTAACGAAATTAATTGAAATTCTACACATAGAAATTAATTCGGTGATAATATTAAATTATCTCTAATTAAGCAATTAAAATATTTGAGTAAAAAGTGGATTTTGCATTATATGCCAGCATACAACACAAACTAGAGGCGCGCTATCCTAAGGGCAAAAAAGGCAATTGATTAGGGCCTCCATTAACGGGGGCCCAATAAGAATTTCCCAATAATTCCCCCTAAGAAAAATGTCTGAATTCAACACTATGTGGGGGCCCCCTAATTCAAATTTGCCTGTCCCCGTGAAGCTATAATGCGCCATTGATACAAACACATAAACACACACACACACATTATATAGGGCCTATATACTGTATATAAATACAGTTAAACCTCTAATAACGACCACTTTTCAACAAAGCCACGTCCATTTTTCTCGAGTGTTCCTTTAATATAAATTGTGTGTATGTATACGTACTGTACGTACACACACAATTTATATTATTATTATATATTATTTGAGCAAAATATGGATCTATATATATATATGTATTTATATTTACAAATAATTAAATATAGTGATGAAACCTGTGAACAACGGCAACTGTCGGAAACAAAAAATGTGTGTGTAGACATACACATTTAATTAACATACTCTTGTTTGATTTAAACAATGTATTAGAACACGATTTAACTTTTAACTACACGATATTCGGAATTAATAATTTACGGAGTGAACTAATTAACAATTTTTTAGCACCGAAAAAAAAACCATTACTTTTTCAGATAAGAGGGAAAAAAATTCACAATTCCACTCAAGTATTAATTACAAACACATGTAAAATTTGGATAGCATTTTTTAAAAAGGACGTAAATATTAAAATGTATTTTGCCCGATAGCTTATTATTTTTTAAAATTGGAACGATATTATATCGAGAAAATAGAATTTTTCTCAATATAATACAAATGCACAACTTTATCTCGATGTATTGTATTGTAAACCAGAATTTGAATCAACATTTTGCGGTAATGATTAGTTTAACATTCAAAAAAGAATCTATGTTTAGAAAGTAAATGGTTTATTTTTTCAATATAAAAACTTATTTGAATTTTGAAAGAAAATAAATTGTTATATTTACGTTATGTATTTCCGGAACTATTAACTTCTAATTCGTTATGTCGTTAAGTTAAATCGTGTTCTTTTTGTTTACATCGGACAAGGGTGGATTTAATGAACCCAATGTAAGTTATATTACTGTATTCTATTTACGTATCACGTGTTTATAAAATTTTAAATTATGAAAAGTTGAATTTCACACACACATACATATAGGATAAAATTCAAGAAATCTTGTTTGAATGTTGATATTTTTCTCGATATATCGTGAATTTTTATGGGTTGTTATATTGCGTGTGTAGTTTAAGACTCAAATATAATGTGTCTGAATATGTCAGAACACTATATATATATATATATATGCTGCTGTGATGGCGCGTTGATCAATATTGGATCTCCTTTAAGTTTTGAAATGGAAATGATAGTTTCTTTATTTTGTTTTATTAATATTCAGAAAATATTAAAATATAGATTTTTATACAGAATGAAAGAAATGTGTCTGCTGTCATTCGATGAAAGGTCATACGTCGATATTCAGAGACATGTTGGAATAAATATGTACAGTTAAGAAAATACATCTCAAATACGATATTTGCACAAATTCTTAAGATAATCGATATTTCTCTTGTACGTTTTATCGATTTTTCCGCGGCGAGAACTCCATTTTTCAATTTTTGTTGACAATGTATCTTATATAGACGAATTCGATCTAGTCACTAAACCGAAAGCAATAGCATTTAAAGTAGAGTTTTCTTCAAAGTGGCCATGTATTGGTCATTTTGGCAGACAGTTTAATTCGATTTTTTCCCCCTTTCTATTCGAATGTTGTTATATATTAGGTTACCTAGGTAATTTCTATTTTCGTTCGGTCTGGAATAAGTTAAATACTTTATATATAAATCGAAGTAAAGATTTCTAAATTTAGTTATTAATCAATTAGAGAAAATTTTTGATTATTCGGGTTAAAATTAAAAACTATATCTTTTATTACCTCATGCGGTTATGATGTAAGCTAAATGGTCGGGTAATTAATTTCAAAATTTATTTATGATTTTGTAGTGTTTAAAATAAACATAAATAATCTAATCCTTCCATACAAATTATCTCCGAGTTTATTAACGGAAATTAGTAAAAACTATTACTTCAGTTGGTAATTTGGGAATTTTGATTTGACAACACGTGGTCAGTTTTGTTAATTAACTCTCAACAAATAAACTTAATTGCTTGTTTTTAGTTAAATTAACTTTTTCGATATTAAATTAAATTCACGGACAATTTCGGTTTTTTTTTTATTGTTCTAGTAAATATTTTTGATCCGTTAATTATAATTACAAGTATTATTGATTCAAATCTGTATAATTTTTATGATTCATAAAGGATACTCGTCACGTTTTGTTAATTTTTTTATTGGCTGATTAATCGAAATTTATTATTCTTAACGGGAAAAGATATGCATCTGCGGTATATATTCTTACCAATTTTATTTCAACAGCGGAAAAAACGGGTGTAACGATATGGAAAGTTACATATTACACACTTGGTTACTTTTACCTTGACTGTCAATCGGCAAAAGAACGGCATCACATGACCGATTTTCGTCTCTGGGACATGGACCAGAAAGGAGGTTGACGACCTCAATCGGACAAAATAGTCTTTACGCTTGTAACTTGTCTTTATCAATTCACTCTCTCATCGTTTAACCTAATTGTATTAGGTCACGTACTGAAAATTGATCACGTGTCCGTCCGGATGCAGTTCAGCATCACGTGAACCGTGTCCAAATGAAGATTTATCCATAGCGTGAAGAAATGAAATGGCTCTTGTTAGTTACAGAGCTATTTCATAGTTTGTATGGAAACGTTAAGGAACAAAACAAGCTGTTCATTTCATAACGATTTATCGTTTAGTTTCTTTCATGTCAGATCCAGTTGTTTATCGAATTCTGACAATGACAAGAGAACAAAAGACAGGTTTTCCTGAGTAAGTTCGATGGCGGGACGTCTCCCATTACGCATTCTGGATGAATCTGGGCTTAAGCTTATCTTTACCTTTCAAAATCAATTTGAACAAAACAGAAACAATTATAAATTATTTAAACTGCATTTATAGGGTACTGTAATAAGCAATCACAATAAAATTAAATACTCTAACTCGTAAGTCATAAAGAGAATGGATGAATGAGAGCGTAACTGTTATACTCCTGGTTAAATTTGGCCTCTTCCGAGAAATAACTGGTAGACAATTATCGATTGGCGCCATGATGGCCTTTCCACCTGTCGCCGTTTACAAATAGTA